AAGTTTTTCATGTGTGATTAAAGGGAGAAGAAAGAGGTTTGTGAGTAATCTGGGGCTAAGATATTGAGATCTTTCAAAGGTGCACAGAAGAATTTAGCCTAGCAGCTTTTATTTTTCTATTCTTTTTTGTCCCTTTTTTGTTTTTATTTTTTTTAATAGATTGTATTATGGTGTGTTGCTTAGTCTTAGAGTACATTTTTAACCCACAGTGATGGTGCAAGTTCTATCAGGTGATTATGATCATAGCTTATAAACTTTGGGCAATAATTGCATGATGTCACCTTTGAGTTCTTTTGAAAATTCTTGAGTGAAAATTTTATGCTCCTTTAGAGATTTTTTTCCTTCTGTGGAATGCTAGATCCCTAGATGATAATCAGTTTGAGTGGGACAGAACATCTTTAATGAACTAGTAAAGATATGCAAAAGGAGAATTAAAAACAACAGTACTGGCCGGCGCGGTGGCTCACGCCTGTAATTCTAGCACTCTGGGAGGCCAAGGCGGGCGGATTGCTCGAGGTCAGGAGTTCAAAACCAGCCTGACCCGTCTCTACTATAAATAGAAAGAAATTAATTGGCCAACTAATATATAGAAAAAATTAGCCGGGCATGGTGGCGCATGCCTGTAGTCCCAGCTACTTGGGAGTCTGAGGCAGTAGGATTGCTTGAGCCCAGGAGTTTGAGGTTGCTGTGAGCTAGGCTGACACCACGGCACTCACTCTAGCCTGGACAACAAAGCAAGACTCTGTCTCAAAACAAACAAACAAAAAAACAGTACTTAAGACAATGTGGCAGTAACATAATTCCTGGACTAGATTCTATCTAGAAACAGACAAGTACCAACAGTGGTAAAATGATTTTTGACAAAGGTGACATCTATAATATATCAATAATTTAATGGGAAAAGGATAATCTTTATAACAAATGATTCTGGAACAATTTGATACCTTTATGGAAAAATAAAACTTGATCTTACCTTTTAATAGTATTTTGAGTTTCTGCTATGTTTGTTCATGTCTAATATTATTTATGCCTTTTTCTCCTTTCTATAAATTGCTCGGTCTTGCTATAGATTTTTTTATTTGGCTTTTCAAAGAACCACCTTTTGTTTCTGTTGATTGCTAGTGTCTGTTTTCTATTTAATTCATTTCTATTTTTATTATTCCCTCCCTTTATTTGGGGGTTTTACTCTCTTATATTATTTCTTATGTTGAACCCTTAGCTAACTAATTGTTTTTAAATTTATCTTTATAAAAATAATCATTTAAGCCTATAAATTTTCCTTTAAGTATAATTTTAGCTGCATTATACAAGTTAACTAGTTTCTATTTTCATGATACTTCTAAATATTTTCTGACATCTATAATATAAGGGAGTATTTTATATTATAATTACCTTTGAATATTCTTGGACTGTGCTCAATGTAGTCTATAAGATATTGATTCATATTTACTGAAACTCTGGGCTAATATATATGGTAAATTTTGTTAATATTCCATGTACACTTGAAAATGTGTATTTTCTAATTATTCAGTACCTGGTTTTATACATGGCCATACAGCAAGTTTATTAGTGATGTTATCAACATTCTTCAATTTTTTTCTGCTTCTTTTATCTGTAACAATTATAGTAGACTTTTTTTTTTTTTTTGAGACAGAGTCTCACTTTGTTGCCCAGGCTAGAGTGAGTGCCGTGGTGTCAGCCTAGCTCACAGCAACCTCAAACTCCTGGGCTCAAGCAATCCTACTGCCTCAGACTCCCAAGTAGCTGGGACTACAGGCATGCGCCACCATGCCCAGCTAATTTTTTTTCTATATATATTAGTTGGCCAATTAATTTCTTTCTATTTATAGTAGAGACTGGGTCTTGCTCTTGCTCAGGCTGGTTTCGAACTCCTGACCTCGAGCAATCTGCCCACCTTGGCCTCCCAGAGTGTTAGGATTACAGGCGTGAGCCACCGTGCCCGGCCTATATTAGACTTCTACCATGTAGATTTTTCAAAAGCCCGGCCTATATTAGACTTCTACCATGTAGATTTTTCAAAATTCCCTTGCAATTCTGCCAATTTTTGTATCTTACACTTTGAGGCTTTCTTGTTAAGTTCATACAAGTTCATAGCCATTTATGTCTTTCTTTTGATTGTGTCTCATCAATGAATAATAACTCTTTTTACATATTCCTAATAACTTTATGCCTTAAAGTTTATTTTGCTTGGTATTGATATAGCTACACCAGCTTTCTTGTGGTTAGTGTTTGCCTCAGTATTTTTTCTATTCCTTTATTTTCAATGTTTCTTTGTCATTATGTTTTGGGTATATGTTTTGTAAACAGCATAAAATTTTTTTAAATCCAATCTGACAGTTTCTATCTTTTAATCAGCAAGTTTATTTGTAAAATAAATGTTTATAATCATTATGATTACTGATAAGTTTGGGTGTATTTCTGGTGTCTTATTTTGTGCTTTCTATTTACTATGTTTTTTCTGTTTCTTTCTTTTCTATATTCTGTGGGATCAATCAAATTTTCTTTATTCCTCTTTTTGTCTTCTACTAGGTTTGGAAGTTATAGTTTATTTCTTCTCCATTTGTTCGTTACCCTTAAGTTTTTTTTAATAGATTTTATTTTTTAGAGAAGTTTTAGGTTCACAGCAAAATTGAGTATAAAGTAGAAAGGGTTCCAATAGACGCCCTGCCCCCCAACAACCTCTCCCACTATTAATGTCCCATACTACAGTACGTATTTGTTATAATTGATGATCCTACACTAACATACCACTATCACCTAAAGTCCATGGTTTGTTTTTTTTTGTTTTTTTTTTTGGCGGGGAGCGGCTGTCACCGTGGCGGCCGCCGCCCCCCAAGTCCATGGTTTATATTAGGGTTTGCTCTTACTATTATACATTCTATGGGTTTTGGCAAATGTATCATGATACATTGTATTTTACATGTGTTCAATTGTTTGGTATCTCGTTTTAATTTGCAACTCCCTAATGACATATGATGTTGAACACCTTTTCATATACTTATTTGGCATCGTCTTTGGTGATGTGTCTATTCAAGTATTTGCCTATTTTTAAATCAGGTTGTTTGAAAAGTTCTTTTTATATTTTGAGTAACAGTCCTTTATCAGGTATGTCTTTCACAAATATTTTCTCCCAGTCTGTAGTTTATCTTCTCATTCTAGCAGTTTATAGTTTTGTTTTTTACAATTAGGTCTGTGATCCATTTTGAATTAATTTTTGTGAAAGATGAAAGATCTGTATCTAGATTCATTTTTGCTTGTAGGTGGATGTCCAGTTGTTCTAGCATCATTTGTTGGAAGTCTGTTATATCGTCTTTGCTCCTTTGTCTAAGATTAGCTGACTTTATTTATGTGGGTTTATTTCTGGGCTCTCTAGTCTGTTCCATTGATCTATTTGTTCTTTCACTGATACTACACACATTGTCTTGATTACTGTAGCTTTATAGTAAGTTTTGAAGTCCAGTAGTATCAGTCCTCCAACTTTGTTCATCTCCTTCAATATTGAATTAGCTATTCTGGGTCTTTTGCCTACTCTTATAAACTTTAGAATCAGTTTGTTGATATCCACAAAATAACTTGATAGGAATTTGATTGGGATTTCATTGAATCTATAGATCAAGTTGGGAAGAACTGAAATCTTTTTTTTTTTTAAAGCCAGTCAAATGTAGCAGTGGGGGGAGAACTGAAATCTTGACAATAAAAATGTCTTCCTATCCATGAACATGGAATCTCTCTCCATTTATTTATTTCTTTGATTTATTTCACAGTTCTGTAGTTTTCCTCATATACATCTTATACATATTTTGTTAGATTTAATATCTGAGTATTTCATTTTGAGGGGATGCTAATATAAGTGGTAATATGTTTTTAATTTCAAATTCCACTTGTTACATTGTTGGTATGTAGGAAAGTAGTGGAGTTTTATATATTAACCTTGTATCCTGCAACCTTACTTTAATCATTTGTTCCAGTTTTCTTATTGATTCTTTCAAGTTTTCCACATAGACAATCATGTCGTCTGTAAACAAAGCTTTATTTTTTCCTACCCTTAAGTTTTTAACTTGTACATGTGATTTGCAGAGCCTTAAAATCAATCACTTATCTCTACACTTTCTCAATCTTGGCACTATTGATGTTTTGGACCAGATAATTCTTTGTTGTGAGGCTGTCCTATGCATCGAAGGATGTTTGACAGCATCCCTGGCTTCTACACACTAGAGGCCAGTAACATCCCACCTCCACCACCAGTTGTGGCAACCCAGACATAGCCAAATGTCCCATGGGAGGCAAAAATCTCTCCCAGTTTACATCCACTGGCTTAAACAATACAAGGACTTGGGCTGAGTGTGATAAACAATTTTACTTTTTTTCACAGATTTTAAAACTGAGGAGGAGCTACTATCTTACATACGTGAAAATTACCAAAAGGCTGTGGCCACAGGAGAAATCAAGTTACATTCATGTGCTCGAAACATGATCTCAACTATTAAAATGTTCCTAAAATCGAAAGACACCAAAGAATTAGAAGTAAGGGTCCAGCTGTTATTGTTTGTCCTAGATGTAGTGGTTGGTTGGTTTTTGGTGGGTTTGGTCCATATGTCTTGGAAAAATGTCTGTTCCATACATGAATCAAAAATGATGAGATGAGCGAGAGAGTGAGTATAATTCTAGATCTTGGAAAGTGGATATGGTGAAGTAGTAAAGCAGAAATCAAAGAAACAAGGTGAGTGTATTTCTCTCCTAATGAAAACTTTCCTCATTTGAGCTGTTCGTTAGCTGCATAAATTAAGCCAGTGGTTTTTAATCCTGGCTGCACTTTAGAATCAACTAGAACATTTTTAAAAATTCTGATTCCTGGCTCCCTCCAGACTAATTGAAACAGATCTCTTAGATAGGAACCTGGGCATCTGTACTTTTAAAAAAACAGATGATTCCCTACATGATTCTTATGCCCTTAGGAGAGTTGCAAACCGCTGGTTTAAACCACATTCATTGTTTTTATTCATGTTCAATGGCAAAAGCCAGGTTTCTTCTCTAAAGTAAACAAGAGGATTTGTTTATAATACTTAGGCTTCTCAATTGCTACTTTATGGAACCTTCCTTTTAAGACAGTTGAGATCTACAGGCTTGCTTTATCCATGCCCATTTGCTCTCAAATATTAATATTTTTTTTACCATATTCTTTTTAAAGATATAAAAGAATATTCATTTCACTATTTTTTATTCAAATGAAAGAAGAGCGAAATTTGTAAGGGAATATACTTCCTTTCTTAGGATAGTCAACTGTGAAAGAAATTAGAAATAATGATGAGTAGCTTAATATTCTCCTGTATAATAATTTTGTATTTTCAGGTGAACTGCCTGAATCAAGTAAAAAGTAACCTCTTAAAAAATAGCAAAAGTCTTCGACAGAATCTGGGGAAAAAACTGGATAAGGAAGACAAAGTCAGAGAGTAAGTAACTACTTTTTTTTTTAACTGTTAACTCCAAAACAAAACTCTGAGATTTGCTCGCATCCATTAAAATAGATTGCCAATTGCTTAAAGTTGCTTTTGTAGCTGATTTTTATGATGTACTAATGTGCAGTTTTAGTCACCTATTTCTCTAATAACTGCATCAGTATTTAGAGAAGGCACTGGCTCTTCCCCTTTTTGATTGTTGTTTTGTTTTTTCTTTCTGTTTTTTTGGAGACAGGGTCTCGCTCTATCGCCCAGGCTAGAGTTAGAGTACAGTGGTGTTATCATTGCTTAGTGCAATCTCAAACCCCTGGGCTCAAGCGATCCTCCTGCCTCAGCCTCCTGGTCCTATAGGCACATGCCACCATGCCTGGCTAATTTTTCTATTTTTCTGTTGAGACTGGGTCAAACTGTTGCTCAGGCTGGTTTCAACTCCTGGCCTCAAGCAATCCTCCCGCTTCGGCCTCTTAGAGTGCTAGGATTACAGGCATGAGCCCCCCACCCGGCCTCATTGTTGTTCCTTATGTAAACAGATCTATGCTTAAGGAAGGAGCTTTCTGTTAAGTGCGATTCAAAGTAGATGTGACCAAATATTTGTCTCTCAAGGTGCCAGCTTCAGGTGTTTCTTCGTTTGGAGATGTGCCTGCAGTGCCCTTCAATACTTGAAAGTACAGATGATATGGAGCAAATAGTGGAGGAGGCAAGTAAATAACTTAGTGCCATTGGGAATGTGCCCTAGATGCTTTCAGCTTCCCTGTAGAGGGCACGTGATGATTTTTTAAAATCTCTTTCAGGTGACATATTTGCTGCGCACGGTGTGTTTAACTGAGGACTCAGCCTACCTAGCAAAGTTTCTGGAGGAAATTTTGAGATTGTGAGTTTGATGGCTACTTAGTTAACTTTAAAATTGTTTTATCAAGAACTACATATGGTATTGTCTCAGAACTGTGGAATTGTAAGGCCATTTTTCAAGCTGGTGAGGGAGGCAATAGAGCAGGGTGAGATGGTAACTCTCTGTTCCATATTTAACCAATTTCTTCCACAGGTATATTGACTCTATCCCAAAGACACTTGGAAGTCTTTATGACAGCCTAGGATTTATGATTCCCCAGAAGCTGGCTGGTGTCCTTCCTACAGATTTTTTCAGTGATGACTCCACGTCACAAGAGAACAAATCACCACTTCTTTCTGTGCCTTTTGTGGCAAGTGCTCATAGATCAGCATCAGGCAGCACTGAATCCGACCAACTGGAGGAGCTTCGTACCAGATCAGCCAAAAAGAGAAGGTAGGAGCTCGAGGAATCTAAGGAATTACTTGCACTGTTATAGTCCTGACAAAGGATGTGTTTAAACCATCGTCCAATTGTGTCTTTGTCCATATAATTTATTGAATTAATAGTCACCCTTATGTCTAAATCCCAGAAGCCAACCATTGGAGTTCCTAATAAGGAGCATCTGACACTCTACATTATCTAGGAAATATACAGTCATGTGTTGCTTAATAATGGGTATTGTGTGAACATCATAGAGTGTACTTACACAAACCTAGATGGTATACATATTTTTATTTATATGTATTTTTTCATATGGAAACCAAATGTCCCAGCACCATTACTGAATAGCAGTCATTTCCCCTACTTGATCTACCAGGCCAGTATCAATTGCTATATATCAGGTTTCTGAATATGCTCCATTATAATCTTATGGGACTACCATCATATATGGGGTCTGTTATTAAGGGAAATGCCAGTTGTGTGTGACTCTTTATCGTGTAGTTCACAAAGCCTTTCTTTACTGTCCACATGAGGTCTTCGGGAACTAGAAGCCTGTTATGAAATAAGCTTAGGGTGTCAGCTTACTTTTTAAATTTCCCTTGATGTTTTTCATTGTTCATAATTAGTTGAATTTATGGGCATAACTTTAGGAAATTCTGGGGTTGCCTTGTTTTGTTATAAATCCAGGCCAACCCCAAGATAACTGGCTTTTCTTTAAATATTTTATTTTAGAACATAGTTCCACTCAAATTTGATTACATATAACTTCTATCTAGACTTTAGAGTGTCTTAATTGTTTTTCTTCTATTTTTAAAAGGAAAAATGCATTAATAAGACATAAAAGCATTGCTGAGGTTTCACAGAATCTTCGACAAATTGAAATTCCCAAAGTGTCCAAGAGAGCTACAAAAAAAGTAAGTAAGCTCTAGTAGCCAAGAAATGACACTAACAGAGTTGATCCTTCCAGCTTGAGCTGACACAGTAAGAATGATAGGCAGTGTCTCTACTTTTAGAAAAGGGACTTCAGAGGATACAGAAATAATACTAAGCGTTCTTATGAATGTGTATAAAACTGTAATCCAAGAAGTAAAGAAATATGAATTTGTTAAGAGTAACCATTTTATCCAGGGGTATGATAGTTAGAGGTGTAATATGAAGAAAAACAGCAAGTAAAAGTTAGGAATGAATAAATTAATTCAAAATCCTTAATGTAGATAAGAAAACTCATAATAACAAAACAGTCACTGAAAAAATAACATACAATCATAATAGGACTTTGGTTGCATACCAGAGGTACTTTTCAGTAAGTTATGTTTTACTTCAATAACAAGTTTAAAAACAAAAAGAGAAGATGACTGTTATGAAGCCAGTAGTCCCACCTTATCTGCAGGGGATACATTCCAAGCCCCTATTGGATGCCTGAGACTGTGGATAGTATTGAATGAACCCTATATATATATACTGTTTTTTTCTTGTACATATTAATAAATACATATGATAAAGTTTAATTTATAAATTAGACATAGTAAGAGACTAACAGTAACTAATAATAAAAAGGAATAATCATAGCCATATGCTGTAATAAAAGTTATGTGAATGTGGTTTCTCTCAAAATAATATCTTATACTGTATTCACCCATTTTCGGGCTGTGGTTGACTGTAGGAAAGTGAAACCTCAGATGAGGGACTATTGTAATTGGTTTTTCTGTGGCAGTAGATAGAAGGACTTTGAGGTTTTTATTTGTTGCACTAAAAAGTCTAGCTGGAATCTATTTACTCAGTGGAATTAATGTCTTGCTAAGGAAAGAAGGGAGACTAAAAATACAATGAAACTTTTAAGCTGCATGAACTATCTGAGAAGAGTTAAAATTCTATGAGAACTAGCTTTAGAAACATTAATCATTACAATAGTGGTTCTCTGTTTCTAGATGTTTATAGCTGTCCTTTGGAGTTGGGGGTGGGATTTCTTTTAGAGATTCAATGATGTTCACTCTGAGTCCAGTCGAGTCAAAAAATAAAAACAGTGGTGTTCACTTTCTTACTATACCTCCCTTGTGAATAAAATGCAAATTTTATCTATCTCACAATTCTGATTGAAGAGTATAAAATCCAAAAGTGGATGGCCAAGAGTTATCAGAACTTTATTCTCACTAGATTTTACAATGATTTGCAGATCTTTCTAGGATTCTTTGAAACTTTTGTTTTAGATTGGCCAAGACAGTTTGCTTCTTTAATACCACATTTATTGAGATCAGGATTTGATTTTGGTTGATAAAGAATGTTTTCTCATTTCAAAGTCAGTACCATAGATAAGTGACAGTTGTTTAACTGAAATCTAGATGTTTTTTGTTTTTTGTTTTTTGTTTTTTGAGACAGAGTCTCACTTTTGTTGCCCAGGCTAGAGTGAGTGCTGTGGCGTCAGCCTAGCTCACAGCAACCTCAAACTCCTGGGCTCAAGCGATCCTCCTGCCTCAGCCTCCCGAGTAGCTGGGACTACAGGCATGCACCACCGTGCTCGGCTAATTTTTTGTATATATACTTTTAGTCGGTCAATTAATTTCTTTCTATTTTTAGTAGAGACGGGGTCTCGCTCAGGCTGGTTTCGAACTCCCGACCTTGAGCAATCTGCCCGCCTCGGCCTCCCAGAGTGCTAGGATTACAGGCGTGAGCCACCGCGCCCGGCCTGAAATCTAGATGTTAAGTTGTTAATAGAATAAATCTGAGTCCTTTGAAGGATCAATATAGTTAACTCAAAAGCAATGAACTTGTAGTGTAAGTGTAGATACATAATATTAATTATGTATGTATTAATTACATTAATACATATTGATTTCTTTGCATATCTTAACTCCAAAAGAGCACAGTGATTAAAAATGGTTTGATCCTGCCCTAGTACCTCCTGGACATACTCTCCTACTTTTTCTTTCAGTTATGTGGATTAACAAGGGTTGACAAACTTTTTGTAAAGGGCCGGATAGTAAATGTTGTAGCCTTTTCAGGCCTCTGTAACATCTACTCAATTATCCTGTTGTAGTGGGAAAGTAGCCAGAGATGATATGTAAACAAATGGGTGTTTCAATAAAACTTTATTTTCAGAAACAAGAAGTGGCCCAGATTTGGTCTGCATGCTGTAGTTTGCTGACCTCTGGATTGGGAAATTGGATGTACAACATATTTTTACATTGTAATTTAACTCTTTAAAAGAGTTATTACCAACCAATATAAATGACCAAGAATTACCACGTTTCATGTCTTACCAGCAAGACCTTGGTAGTATTACTGAGATCATTTAAGTTTCTGCACATGCAGTAGTTTATGCTTCAATTATTACAGTGGCATAATTTAAAAAGAGTCTTTAAAAATCATTCCCTTGTTTAGATGCAACTAAGGTTTAGAATCTTGAATCCTCTACTGTAATAGCAAGTAAATAGCAGTTTGATACAGATACGTTCCTGAGAGTAGCCACTCTCTAATCAATTTATATGGCTTTTCACTTATATTTTAGATATGAGATATTGATCATCATTAAAAAGTTGAAACATATAAAGTCAAAAATTAGAGTGTCCCTTCTCCATCCATTCTTCAGAAGTAATCACCAATGATAGTTTGTTGTGTATATATCCAGACCCTTTTCTGTATGTACCAATAACAAACACCCCAAAGCTTTATATATATCTGTTATGTACACACATATATGTAAACATTTTAACAAATTTAATTTACTGTACTTATTCTGCTTTTTGCTTTTTTTTTTCTTTTTCCCCATCACACAGATCTCTTTTCTATGCTAGTTAGTACAGGTTGAGTATCTTTTATCCAAAATCCTTGGGACAAGAAGTGTTTTAGATTTCAGATTTTTTTTTGGATTTTGGAATATTTGCATTATGTATATTACTGGTTTAGCATCCCAAATCTGGAAATCCGAAATACTCCAATGACTGTTTCCTTTGAGTGTCATGTCAGTGCTCAGAAAGTTTTGGATTTTGGAGGTTTTAGAATTAGGGATGCTCAACCTGTTTATATAGGTCTTCCTTATTCTTTTTAATGTCTCCATTGGATGGGTGTATACTTTATTTAATTGTTTTATTTTTTATGGGCATTTATGGTGTTTCTATTTTATATTATTACAATACAGCCAGGAGTGTCTTTGGAATATATCTATTTTGGTGTGTTCTATTTTTGTGTAGGGGTCAAAGGGCTCATATGAAATTTTTATTTTTTTATTTTAATGAATACCTATTTAAATTTTCTTTTTGGATTTTTTCATCTTTCAGGAGAACTCTCACCCTTCTCTTCAGCAGCATCCACTCCCAGTGAAAGATACAGTACAAGGTATACTTTGTTTTCTCAGTGTATGCATTTATCCACTAGAATGACCAATTATTTTGATTGTATTTCAACAGCTAAATACAGTTTTAAATTGTGGTTTTATGACGTCGTTGGTTCATTATATATGTCCTAGTACCATACCCCAAGGGAATAAGATTGTTACATGGTCTCAAAATATAGTAACTCTACAAAATAAATGGCCTGAAATATTTTAAAAACACCATTTTATGACAGCAAAAAGAAAGAAATGAGCCAGTAGAACTGTTTTATATGAAAGGAGTTTAAGCTAAATGCACTTCATGATCCCTACTTGGATCTTAAATTTAGGGGAAAAAAGCTAGAAAAGATATTATTTAAACAATTAGAGCAATTTGAAGAAGGAATTTGTGCTAGATAATATTGTATCAATGTTAGAAATATTTTGAGTGTAGTAATGGCATTGGGGTTATGTAGGAGAATGTCCTTGTTCTTGGAAGATACATGCTGATCTACAGGGAACAATTGTATGTTTGCAACTTACTCTCCAGTGTTCAAGGGGCGAAACTGTATATATGTAGAGAGAGAGAGATGGAGAAAAAAATTTTTGACAGTTGGTTAATTTTAGCGATGAGTATATGTTTATTTTATTCTTTGAAAGTTTCCATAGATATTAAACTTTTCAAAACATTTGGAAAAATAGAAAATAACAAATCAAATTTGATTTTAAGGTCACAAATCAGTTTCACAGACAGCTCAAGTCAGGTAACAGTAACTCTTATAATGAAGATAAAGTAACAATTTTTGAGACTTTGTTGTGTGTTATTGATGTTCTTAATGTTTATGTCATTGGTGAATAAACACAAGGCCTGCTCCTAGTTTATGGATCCTGGGTTATTTGGTTTTTATTTAAATGTTTGCTCTTATAAGAATTCACCCTTGGTGATTTTTTTAATCACCTCTAATAAGCTATCTTACTTAAGATTAAGGTGTCATCTTACTAGCTTTGTCAAGTATTTCTCAACTTTTCAGCTATTTTTTATAACTTTAAGTCTAAACTCTCATGCTTTGGAGTCAAAAAGAAAATTTAAAATAGTATAGCAGATTAGTAAAATAGTGAGAAAAAGAATGAAATCTGTGGAATTAAACAGTTTCTCTACTCAAGGCTGAGCTGAATACAAAGCAACAAAAAGGTCCAAGATGAGAAAAATAATCAGAAAAATAATCAAAAATAAAAAGTGACTATGACCTATATTAGCCATCTTTTTACTTACAGTGAGTAAAGCTTCTAATTTACTAAGTGATATGGCTTTCCTAATGTTCCTAGAAGTTGTATTTAAATTGAATTTGTAATGGAATACTAGGGACAACTGTATACCAGCAAATTAGATAACCTAGATGAAATTGACAAATTCCTAGGAAGACCCAAAACTACAGAAAACAGACTCAAGAAGAAATAGAAAATCTGGTAGATCTATAACAAGTGAAAAGACTGAATTAGTTCTCAAAAAACTACCCACTAAGTAATGCCCGGGACTAGATGGCTTCACTGCTCAAGTCTACCTAATATTTAAAAAAGAATTAACACCTTAGCATTTATTATGATCAATTGAATTTTTACTAGCACGCCAAGAGGATTCAATAGGGAATAAGTGGTCTTAATCAAATGGTGCTGAGACAACATGCAGAAGAATGATGTTGGACCCCTACCTCATGCAAAAAATATACCAAATTTCTATGAATTTGTAAGAATACTTTTAATGCATCATAGGAATGTACTATTTAAGGAAATCTTATTAGTAAATGTAAATATAGTAGTCCATCTAGAGAGTAGTTTCCTTAAGCAGCCTCTCTGTTTTGGATATCTTTTTTTTTCCTTGGATTTATTGATGATAATATTTGACTTTTTCTTTTTTTAATTTCTTTTTCTTTTTATCTTTCTTTTTTAAATTTTGGTGATGCTTTCAGAAGTGACTAAAGTTCGAAGAAATCTATTCAATCATGAAATGCTTTCTCCTTCAAAAAGATCACTAAAGCGGGGATTGCCTAGAAGCCATTCTGTGTCAGCTGTGGAAGGTCTAGAACATAAACTTGACAATTTCAAGAAGACTAAAGGTACTACATTTCATGGTAACCAAGAAAAAGGGGATTCTTTCTTTAAGTTTGGTGGTAACACACCCTCTTTCATTCCTGATTTATTAGTTTGAGTTTTACTGCTTTTTTTCTTGGTCAGTTGAGCTAAATGTTTGTCAATTTTGTTGATCTTTTCAGAGTACTTTTAGTATCATTGACTTTTCTTTATTGTTTTTATAACCTCTTTTTCATTATTTCCTTACTTCTACTTGCTTTGGTTTTAGTTTGCTCTTTTGCAAATTTTTTAAGGTGAAGTTTAGATTATTGATTTGAGATTTTTTTTTTTTTCTGAGATATAGTATTGCTCTGTCCCCCAGGATAGAATGCAGTGGCATCATCATGGCTCACTGCAACCTCAAATTCCTGGTCTCAAGCAATCCTCCCACCCAGCTAATTTTTTTCTATTTTTAGTAGAGTCAGGGTCTTGCTCTTGCTCAGCCTGTTCTGGAACTCATGACCTCAAGCAATCCTCCTGCCTCAGCCTCCCAGAGTGCTAGGATTACAGGCATGAGCCACTGCACCCAGTCAAGATCTTTTTTTTTAATACAGGTATTTACAACCACAAAGCACTGCTTTCTCTTCATCTTGTAAATTTTGTATGATGTGTTTTCATTTTCATCATCTCAAAATATTTTCTAATTTCCCTTGTGGTTTCTTCTTTGACCCATTGGTGTTTAGCAACACATTAGTTTCCATGTATTTGTGCTTCCCAAACTCACTTGTCATTGATTCTAGTTTCATTCTATTGTGACTGGAGAACATACTTTGTATGATTTCAATCCTAAATTTGAAACTTGGTTTATGGTCTAACATTTGGCTTACCCTGGAGAATATTCCATGTGTGTTTGAGAAGAATGTGTGTTTTGATCTTGTTGGGTGAAGTGTTTTATAGGTGTATGTGTTAGGTCTAGTTGGTTTATGGTGTTTGTTCAAGTCTTCTGTTTCCTTGTTGAACTTCTATTTAATTGTTCTATCCATTATTGGAAATGGAATATTCAAGTCTCCAACTATTATTATTGAATTATCCATTTCTCCCTTCAGTTGTCAGTTTTTGCTTCATGTATTTTGGGACTCTTTTTTGTTGTGTATATGTTTATAATTGTTACATCTCCTTGATCAAATGAACTTTTTATTAATATGTAATGTACTTTATTTCTTGTAACCTTTTATGGCTTTGAAGATAATATAGCCACCCCGCCTCTTTTGCATAGAACATCTTTTGCTATCCTTTTACTTTCAAGCTGTGTCTTTATCTAAATTGAGTCTCTTGTAGACAGCATAAAGTTGGATCATATTTTTAATCTATTTTGCCACTCTGCTTTTTAATTGCAGTGTTTAATCCACTTATATTCAATGTGATTACTGATAAGGAATGACTTCTGCCATTCCTATTTATTTTTTATATATTTTATGCCTTTTTGTTTTTTAATTCCTTTGTTACTGCCTTTTTTGGTAGTTAGCTAATTTTTTTGTAGTGTTCTTTTGTGATTTCCTTCTTTCTTTTTTGTGTATTTTTAGTTGTTTGCTCATTGGTTACCTTAGACATCATAATTAATATGTTAAAACTTAAGACAACCTAGTTTGAAATAAAACCAACTTAGTTTCAATAGTAAAACACGCTGCTCATATACATTTCTGTCTCCCCCTTTATATTGTTATAGATCACATATTTATATATTATGTGCCCATTAATATGGATTTATAATTATTGTTTTATGCATTTGCCTTTTAAATCATACAGGGAAAAAAACCCAAAAGTATCATAATACTGGCTTTTATGTTTACCTATATAGTTACCTTTACCAGTGTTTTTTATTTCTTCTTATGGCTTCAAGTTATTGTCTAGTGCCCTTTCATTTGAAGCACTCCCTTGGCTTTTCTTTTTTTGTTTTTTGTTTTTATTTTATTTATTTATTTATTTTGAACACTTCAACTATGACATGACCTTAGTTTTTCTTATATAGTAAGTCTACTGGTAATAAACTCCTTCAGCTTTTGTTTATCTGGAAATATCTTAATTTCTACATTATTCCTGAAGGTTATAGAATTCATGGTTGACAGCTTTTTTTCTTTTAGAACTTTAAATATGTCATCCAGTGCCTTCTGGCCTCTAAGGTTTCTGATGAGAAGTCAACTGTTAAACTTATTAAATTGCTTCTCTGTTGATGGTTTCAAGATTATCTTGAGTTTTTTTCTGCTTGGAGTTCATTGAACTTCTTGCATGTGTAGGTTCCTGTCTTTCATCAGATTTAGGAGGTTTTCAACCACTATTTCTTCAAAAATATTTTCTCCTAGCACTCTCGGAGGTGAGGTGGGTGGATTGCTCAAGATCAGGAGTTCGAAACCAGCCTGAGCAAGAGTGAGATCCCGTCTCTACTAAAATAGAAAGAATAAATTGGCCAACAATATATATAGGAAAAATTAGCTAGGCATGGTGGTGCATGCCTGTAGTCCCAGCTACTTGGAAGGCTGAGGCAGTAGGATTGCTTGAGCCCAGGAGTTTGAGGTTGCTGGACTAGGCTGACGCCATGGCACTCACTCTAGCCTGGCAACAAAGTGAGACACTGTCTGAGAAAAAAAAAAAAAAAAATTTCTGCCACTTCCTCTGCCTCTTCTCCTTTCAAAGTTCCCATGATATTTATGTTAGTACACTTGATGGTGTCCCCCAGGTCTCTTGGGCTGTGTTCATCTTTTAGTTCACTGATCGTTTTAACTGCCCATTCAAATCTGTGGTTGAACTTCTCTAATGAATTTTTCATTTCAGCTATTATACTTTTCAGCTCCAGAATTTTTTAGTTCTTTTTTTATAATTTCTATTGCTTTATTGATAGTCTCATTTTGTCCATACATTATTTTCCTGATTTCCTTTAGTTCTTTGTCCATGGTTTCATTAAGCATATTTAGAAAAGTTAATATAACATCTTTGACTAGTAATTCCAATATGTAGGCTGTCTTGGGGATAGTTTCTGCCAAATTATTTTATCCTGTAAATTGGCCATATTTTCTGGGTTGTTTTTGTTTTTGTTTTTTTTTTTGTAAGCTTTATGTCTTTTTTGTTGAGAACTAGTTATTAAGGTTATAATATGTGTTAACTGTGGAATCAGATTCTCCTAACCCTCAGGGATTGCTGATCTTTTCTTATTGAGTGCTGCAGCTATTCATTTGTGCCTTTTCCAAACTTTTTTTATAAAGTATATGTGTATGTGTATAGTCACTGAAGTTCTATCTGTTATCTCTGTGGTCAGCCCATGACCTGACAAAAATTTCCCAACATGTCTGGCTCCAAAATGAGGGGGAGAAAAAGGTGTTTCTGTCTCTTTAAAACTTTCTAATAGATGCTGTGAGGGAAAGCCACTACAGCCTGAGAGGGCTGGTCCCACAGGGATCTGCCAGATTGACCAAAGCATGCAACCCCAGATCTTTATATCCCCACTGTTTGCTCTGGCACCAGCCAGCTGCTCCAGGAATAGGGGCTGCTGTCCCCCATGGCTGCAGCAGAGTTGAAGAAAGGAGGATGGGAGCTGATCGATATACATTATTCATCAAGCACTTCTCAGGCTGTTATGTATACAGTTTCCAGGTTCCAAAATAGTTTGATTCTGATCTTTTTTTCTAGTTTGCTAGTTGCTTTGGTGAAGGGACCAATCCCTAGAGCATTCCTCACCACCATTTTGCATGCCATTCCTCCTCCTAGGGATTATAATTAACCCTCTTAGTGTGTGTGGGGGGGCCAATATATCAGCTACATAGGAGATATTGGCCCACCACACTTTTTACCCTAGATGCAAAAGCCGATATTTCGGCCTGCCACACTAAGAAGGTTAATATCTTACTTATTACAACCTAGTTCAGATTAATTCTAATTTAACATCAGTAGTTTATAAAAACTTTGCTTGTATATAGTTCTATTTCCTATCCTTTCTTTGTACTACATTGTCATATAAATTATATCTCTAATATGTTGTATGCTCATCAACACAGATTTATAATTATTGCTTTATCTTTTAAATCACAGGAGGAAAAAAGTTAAAAAATGCTTTTATCTGTCTTACTAATGTAGTTACCTTTAGCGGTGCTCTTTAATTCGAATTCGAATTCTTTAATGCGAATTCGAGTTCTAGTGTGCTTTCCTTTCAGTTTGAAGGACTCCCTTTAGAATTACATGTAGGATCAATCTGCTAGCAACAAATTGTATTGTTTTGTTTTCATCTGGGAGTGTGCCAATTTCTCCTTCATTTTTGAATGATAGTTTTTTTGGGTATAGAATTCATGGTTGACAGTCTTGTTTTCTTCTCAGCACTTTGAATATGTCATTGCACTGCCGTTGGTCCTTTATTTCTGATGAGAAATCAGCTGTTAATCTTATCAAGGCTCCTTTGTTCATGATGAACTGCTGTTCTCTGGCTTTTTTTCTTTTTTTTTTTTTAAACTCATCTTGATTGGAATCTGGTTTCTTTTGTTTGTTCTTTTGTTTTGATACAAGGTCTTGCTCTTTTGCCTGGGCTAGAGTGCAGTGGCCCAATCATAGCTCACTGCAACCTCCAACTCCTGGGCTCAAATAGTCCTTCCTCAGCTTCCCAAATAGCTGGGACTACAGGTGTGTGCCACCATGCCCAGATAATTTTCAAATTTTTTTGTAGAGACAGGTCTTGCTATGTTGCCCAAGCTAGTCTTAAACCCCTGGACTCAAGCAATCGTCCTACGTCAGCCTCTCAAAGTGCTAGGATTACAGGCATGAGCCACTGTACCTGGCTGAATCTGGCTTCTTTTTAAGAGCCTCTCTTTTTTGATTTTTGACAGTTTGATTATGATTTGTCTATGTTTGGATCTCTTCGACTATATTCACTTGGGTTTATTGAGTTTCTTGGATATGTAATGCCTTTCATTAAGTTTACAGCATTTTTGGTCCATGTTTCTCTCAATATTGTTTCTGCCCCTTTCTATCCTTTCTGTCTAGGACTCCTCAAATGTGTATGTTGTTATGCTTGATGGTGTCACAGGTTATGAAGCTCTGTTTATTTTTCTTTATTATTTTTCCTTTCTGTCTCAGACTGAATAGTCTCAATTAATTTGTCTTCAAATTTGTTGATTCTTTCTTCTGCCACCTCAAATCTGCTGTTGAGCCCCCTAATGAATTCTTCATTTTAGTTATTATACTTTTCAACTCTGGAATTTCTATTTGCTTCTTTTTTATGATATTCTCTATTTGCCGTCATAGTCTCAGACTTTCCTTTAGTTCTTTAGATATAGTGTTTTTTAGTTCTTTGGAATATTTAAAATAGCTGATTTAAAGTCTTGTTCTAATAAACCCAATGTCTGGATTTCCTCAGGGACAGTGTCTGTTGACTTTTTTTTTTTCCCCTGAGTATGGGCCATACTTTATTTCTTTGCATGTCTCATAATTTTGACTACAACCAAATGTTTTAAATAATATACTGAGGCAACTCTAACAAGCAGACTCATCCTACCTACCCCCCTACACCAAGGTTTGTTGTTATTGTTGCTGTTTTTCCTAATGACTTTTCTGAACTAATTCCTTAAATTCTGTATTCTTTGTCATGCATGGCCACTGAAGCCTCTGCTTGGTTGTCTTATTGGACAGAAATTTCCTTAAATGCCTGGAACCTGTAAGCTTCACAGCCTCTGCAGAGGGGTGCTTCAGACATGTTGAGTCGTGCCTCAGCACTCAGCCAGGCCATTTACAACTCCACTTTACTTTCCCAGAGCCTTATGGTTAGCTAGAGGTGATAGCTTAGGGACTTCTCAGGTCTGTCCTGAGCCCACGCACAGCTCTATACATGCAGGCGGACTTTTAGGTACACAGGAATGTGTCAGAGGTTTGCAAAGTCCCCCATGGACATCTCATTCCCCGATTTTCCATGTTAAACTTTTTGTGAGCTTGTATTTAAAAGTGACTCTTATTTTACACAGAATTTTGTCAGCTCATTTGCATCGTATGTTATTACCACCTCAGGTAGCTGCGCTATATAATGACTGTTGCTGATTGTTTTTAGTAAATGCTCCCTGGAAAAAGGTGGTTTGCACTGAGTTCTGAGTCAGGTCAAATTGAGACAAGCCTTGTGAGTAGGATTTTCCAAGGATCTACCAGACAGGTCACATGATGACAGTTACCTGAGAATAGGGCTTTGGAGTAGCTCTCACCCCATTCTCCCCATCCAGAGGCTGCTGGTTTTCACTGTGATTGTGGGCTTTTGGTCTTTAAGGCTGCCCCAGGGCTATGGAGAAGTGGTAGAGACTAGGGCAAGGTAAAGCTCCACAAAGCTCACTGTACGTACGGAGAGTCAGCCATTTTCCTTGAATAGATACTCCCTAGACTGTTGCAACCCTTTAGTCAATCTCCAGAGTTCTGAGAAATGTGATGTGGGGTTATTTTTGGCAGGGCTCGCATTCATTTTACGGAGGAGGTTTGTTTGGAGGCCCTTATTACCATCCCTGCTGCCACTCCTCTGTCTAGTCGTTTTTAACATACTTTAAACCAGTCCTTCCATGAGTAGCCCGGCTTTCTACTCTGCAGAGAAATTTTGTGCCAGCTGGATTTATCTTAGTAATTAACATTTGTGTGGCATATCAGTATTTTCACGTATTTTATTTCATTTAATCATAAGTACTAGAACTACCAACTAGGTGGATGGATGTGTTAGTCCTACCAAGTAAGCACTTTTTATTTTTTCAGCGTTGCTTATTAGATAAATAATTTTATATTTACATTGACTTGTGTCATTATTTACTCTTTAATGGTGCCGATAATCTGTTCTGTCATGTTGAGTCCTATAAGCACAGAACTTAGCCCAAAGACCATTAAGATCCAGTCCAGCTAGGTGACAAGCCATATAGACATCAAACAGCTCCCTCTGTCTTACTGCTGCTTCTTGGTAAGGTTAAGTGAAATTTATAATTGAGGCTGTTTTTACATTTTAGGTTATCCCAAACTGCTGACTAAGAATGTGGCCGAGACTCCAGTCCATAAGCAAATCTCCAGAAGGCTGCTTCATAGACAAATCAAGGGCAGGTAAGTGACATCCTTGTCCACGCTTCTTCACACACCTGCACCACCTTCATAACAACCTTGTGAACCACTGCTTGCCTTCTCTTACCCTATGTGACTTAAATCTTAACTGTATTGCTTATACCCAAAGAGCGTTCCATAAATTCTCAATGAGGGCAGGAGAACCATACAGAGTGTACTCTCATCTGGTTTCTTTCACCCGGCATAATTGTTTTAAGATTTATCCATGTTGTTGCATGCAGTAGTTCATCCCTTCTTATTGCTGAGTAGTATTCCATTGAATGGATATTCCATAATTTTTAAATCCATTCATCTGTTGACATGGGGAAGGCTGGAAGTCTAGGATCCCAACTCGGCCTTTGCTGATGGGTAGGGCTGCAGTTTTTTCCGTGGTGCTTGGCTGCAGTAGGGTAGTTATTGTCTGAAAGTTTTTTGTCTTGCTTGGCTGCTGCTTTCTCACCTCTTCAGCTTGAGATGCTCTTTCCTTGGGCATTTTTTTATCTGCTCCTGTTGGTGTATCCAGGTTGTCAGCTTCTCCTGCACCCACTCTGGAGTATATGCAGCAAAAAGAAAATGCAGGGAGCTCACTACCCTGTCTCTTGTGAAGGCCCCGGGGTCCCAAGACAGATGTCTTCTCTCCACCTGTCAGAGTCGTCTTATTTTATTTTATATATTATTTTATCTTATATATGATGCCAAGGGCTTTGGGGCTGTATTTTCAAGGAGAATAGGGAGAAGTGTGCCACTTCATCTTGTCAAGAATCCATCTTGACATTATTTGTAAACAAATTTTACACACCCGCAAAAGTTTATAGGATAAGAGGCAAGAAGTGAAATTAGTGGGACAGAGGATATATATATTTTTTTAACTAATTTTTTAAATAAAGCCCTTGACAAATTGGCAGAAATTAAAGCTCTTAAACAGAAATTTGAATGTTGCTGCTCCTTACTGTGGCAGTCTATTACTTAGGTATAATTTTTTAATACATTAGTGGAATTTAAAATATTTATTTTTAAATCAATTTTAATGTAAAATTGCTTTCAAAAAATAAACATTCTAACCATATCACTCGACAATAATAGTATGAGAGTGCTGACCAATATTTGTGTCATCAAACCCTGTGATCTTTATTACTTTGTTAGATGAGAAGCTGTGTGTCTCTTTAATGTGCATTGATTACAAGTGATATGGAATAATCTTTGTGCTTGTTGTTCCTCAAGATCCTCTGATCCTGGTCTTGATATTGATGTTGTTGAAGAGTCCCCTGAAAAGGGAGATGGTGAGTGCTACCTTTTTTATTTAATGCATTCTACCTAGTCTCTATGAAAACCTTTCTGCACTTGTGTTGTCACTCTGTATATCTTAAGATTTTACAGAAATTGTTGTGATGGTTCTGCGTCCACAATATAGCTCAGTAAGTATTTAAAAGTGTCTGGTTTTTTTTGTTTTTTTTTTTTGAGACAGAGTCTCACTCTGTTGCTCAGGCTACAGTGACCTCAAACTCCTGGGCTCAAGCAATGCTTCTGCCTCAGTCTCCTGAGTAGCTGGGACTACAGGCATGTGCCACCATGCCCAGCTAATTTCTGTATATTTTTAGTTGGCCAATTAATTTCTTTCTATTTTTTAAGTAGAGATGGGGTCTCGCTCTTGCTCAGGCTGGTTTCCAACTCCTGACCTTATCCTCCTGCCTCGGCCTCCCAGAGTGCTAAGATTACAGGCATGAGCCATCGTGCCTGGCCTTAACTGTTCTTAACTGTTCTTTAACACAGAATTTAGCAAGAATTTCTGGAGAAGAAATAATTTTACACAATAGATTTCCAATTCAGAGTGAGGGCTAAACTACTGTGTTGTACAGTGGCTTATTTTAAAAATATATATGACAAAGGAGGGTTTTTAAAAACTAATTTCTTTTTTTAATTATTCAAGTAATTCATGTTTGTTGTGGAAAAATCAGAAAATACAGAGAAGCCAAAATTTTAAAAATCATTTGATAATTCCACAATTCAGGATACTCTGTTAACATTTTAACATACATCCTAACTGCTATTATTTCTATACAAATATGTGTAATATATATTATACATATGAGACCTAACCTGCATTTTTTTTCTGCAAAAGTCACACGTACATACCTTTTTTCACCTTACATTATGCTCAAAGGTGGCAGTTTATGAGACTTCTGAAGGTGACAGTCTTTTATGTCAGTGGTTTTTTTTAATATGTTTGTTGGGACCAAGTATCAAACCCCTCTTAGCTTTTTAAGAGATACTTCAGAAGCCTCTTAAAGCCAATGGTTTGTTGAATTTCCATCTTGTATGTGGTATTGTATAAGTTTTGCCCATTTCTGACAGCACAGGAAAATATCAAGCTTATAGTTCTCCCTAGTTACTTACTGTGGTTCTGGTTTTACAGAAAGAAATTTGAGACGAAGTCCTCGAATCAAGCAATTGTCACTTAGCAGAACAAATTCTGGTTCCTTCTATTCTTTGTCTCAGCCCAAGTCTCGAAGTGTGCAAAGAGTCTACTCATTCCAGCAAGAAAAGTCAGGTAACAACGGGGCCCGTCTGTCTTCACTAGTCTGTGCTTTTGTGAAACTTGACATGAAATTTGACATTTTCTTTCTTGCATTGGAAAGTAGAATAGGCATGTGTAATTGAGGTTCAAGGCAATAAGTAGGTGAATCCATATCCTTTGTAATAAGTCATCCCTTGGATTCATACAATTGGTTGTCCATACTATTGGTATTCATTCAAAAAGAAATTATACATAATTTCCATAATACAGCCAAATCCTGAGGTATGTAAGTATCCCAGGTGGAAGGTGATATCTGTTTTTAATGTTATTCATTCTTTTATCCATGATTAGCATTGTTAATAGATATGTGTTTTTATATTTATAAATTATTTCAATTGCCCACATTTTCTAACATAGGAGCTGGGGTTAATATACAGTCATATTAAAATTAATATACAGTCATATTAAAATTCAGGAAGGCAGCAATCATTGCATTGCTTGTATAATTAGGTGGGATTTTCTCCCCAGTTGCTCTCAAAAATAATTGTCTTCTTTCTTGTACAGACTGGCTGTTTTAATAGAATTGGGAGGGCAGGAGTTGAGAAAGAATTAAATATTGTTGCTATTTTCAACTTGCAGACCAAAGAGAAAATTCTCCAGTTCAAAGTATTCAGTCTTCCAAGAGCCTTCTTTTTGGGACAGTGTCTGAGATGATCAGCCCCTCAGAGAAGGGTTCAGCCCTAATTAAAAGGCCTTCGAGAAACACATTGAGTTTGGGGACACCTACAGCTTACCAGGTATAAAGTTTCTGTAATGTTTAAAAATTGTGTAGTCTCATGGAACACAGGAGACATGGCCAAGGAACCCACTAGCATCCATTAGGGAAAAGAAAGCAGATGATCTACAGGTAATAGAGATTTGGGGTGGTTGGGTTGAGCCATGTGAATGATTACTAGGCATGTGGAAACTTAAAGCAGCAGGTTTGGCTGAAGCCACAGTGGTGGGGAGGAGATAGAGATGGTCTCATCTACTCGCTTGGCTTCAGCTGTCATTTATACCATACACTACACACACACGTAAAATACACTATATATATATATTTTTTTTTATCATATTCTCTATTTATATATATCTCACATCTCATTCTGAAATGTGTAAGAGTCACTCATCTGTCTCTGTTTAAATGTCTGCCCATTCAATATAGTCACCCATCTTAGAAACCTGGGATTCATCCTTGATTTCTCCCTCCCCTGGGCATAGTAAATGCATCAAGCCCTGCCCATTTTATTTACAAACTGATTCCTGCATCTACCCCCTCTTCTCCATCCCTGCGATTCCTACCCTGTTTCACTTCTACCTGGAACATTTCAACAGCCTTTTCCCTCTCAAATCCATCCTTAAGCCAAAGGTCAAAGTGTTCTTTCTGAAACATGCATCTGACTTTGCTTAAAGCTCTATAGACACCTCTGCTAAAGCAAGGTTTTCGAAGTTTTCTAACATGAAAGCTTTGTGTTCAAAAGTAATAATCTTTATTTGGAAACCCAGTAAATTGCTTAGAGGTTGGGGAGGACACAGAGCTCTGGGCAGGATTTGAAAACCATAGATCTACACAGCGAAGGTCAGTCTCCTCCCCTAGGCAGGCCAAGTCCTCCATGGTCTGGTCCCTGCAGGCCTGGCCTCAGCCCTCACCCATCACCCCTGCCCACCTCGCACTCCACTTTCCCAGCAACCTCAGGCCACACATTATCTTGCACAGGGCTGCTCGTTTTCACTTTTGTGCCTTTGCTCATTTTGTTTCCTATACCTAAAGTCCACTATCCCCCACTTTTCCATCCTTTGCCTTCCCCTGCTGACAGCCATTCTTGAAGACCTGACTCACTAGTCCTTCCTCCCTTCCTAGCTGGGTCAGGCAGCCCTCCTTTGTGTTCCACAATTCTCCTCGCATATCTCTGTTGTTGTGTCAGCCACACCTGTCTGCACCCTGCTGAACATGAAATGCCAGCCAGATTCCCTTTTGACAATCAAATAAGGTTGTAGAAAAGATAGGCGTGTGGCTTCCTTACCTGTTGGAGTTTTTGACTACATTTTTGCAAGAAGAAAGGGAAATTTTTTGTTGGGGAGCGTCTTTTCTGAGATGTAATCTTTGTTGCTGTGCCTTATAAATCTGTATGCTCCGTCTGTATATACCCCCCCCAATACACTGTGCCTGGCACACAGTAGGTACTTAGTAAGCACATGCTGAGTGAAGGTGACCAGCAGATGAGGTGGCTCCTGGAGGCTGTGTTGGGCAAAGGTCGGAAACAGCTGTCTGGTTTGAAGAGAGGGAAGACTTGGTAGATAGCTGCAAGTGGTAGAATGATACAATTAGAGGCAAAGCATGGTTTAGTTGTAGTATGCAAATTATTAAAGTTATTTGTTCTTAGAGGAACAAACTAAAATTGGATACAGTGTTTGGTCCTAGAAAAAGTAGACAAGTAAAATCTGAGTCATGTTACAGAGAGGGAAATGGATCCCTATTTGCAATTTCCAACTTGATTTTAGATCGTTCCTTTGGGTGACTATAACTCTCCCATCTGCTTTTCTAATTGTCCTTCTAATTGTCTTAGAGATTACTAAAACGCTTTTCAGAGAATATGGGTTATATTATTCAAACACAGAAATAAACATTTTTCTTTTCAGACTCCCAAGAAGAATTACCAGAAATCTCCAAGTTTTCCTAAAACTACACCAGGAAGGTTCCCTCGCACACCGCAAACTCCATCGTACACTCCAGAAAGGCTGCCAAAATCCCCTACAGAAATGACACCTGCAAAGCAGGCGATTTTTAAAGAGTCCTTAAAAAACTCCTCCTTACATGGCTGTGACTCACCATTGGATTCAAAAATCACTCCTCAAAAAGGATCACTCCTGGCAGAAGAAGGTGCCTCTCCTGAAACAGAGATACCAGGAACTTCCAAAAGGCAAGGCGCTCAGCCGCCCATGCATTTGCTGAGTTGTACTTGGCCACATTCAGTGAGTTCTGGTCTAGAAAGCCCCTCCTGCACAGCATCCCCCGCCCCATCTACTGCCCAGCCCAGGCGTGAGTGTCTGACTCCCGTCAGCTACTCTCTCAGAACACCTCCGAGAGCAGTAGCCTTCCCGACAACGCCTCAGAATCAAAAACACCAGAATCCTCATGTGCCCGGAGCTTCCGAGGCAGAGGCACCAGCCCAGACACTAAAGGACGAAGCTGTCAAAACCCCAAAGAGACCAGGGAATATAGCTGTGAATTCTTCCCCACCTGTTACTCCAAAGAAACTACATACCTCTCCTTTATGTGATATTTCCAAGAGTCCCTTTAGGAAATCTTTGCTAGAGTCTTCTCCCTCTGGAGAACTGGATTGGAAAGGGCCCCGGATGTCATCCAGTGTAGCCACATCTCTCTCCTGTCCTGTGCCCTCACCTCCTCCCACAATCTCACAGAAAGCTACATCTGATACAGTCCCCCCACCACCCCCTTCCAAAACTGGGAAATGGTGTAGAAGGACCTCTAATCCTGAGAGGAGCGTCTGGGAGTGCCAGCCAGACACCTCTGCTGCTCCTGGGGTTGGCACAACTGACAGCCCCGTCTCCACCACAGACTCTAGAGAGGACCAGAAGGGGGTAAGCCTATCTCCTCGGTCTCCTCTTGAAAGATGGAGCCACCAAGGCACTGGTTTGGGGAATGACTGGCATGTGTCCTCTCCTTTGCTCGTTACAAGTGACACAGAGTATCTCACTCTCCTCGATGAAGCTGAACAAAATGGTAGCGATAACTTGAAAGGTAACATCTCACCAGTGGAACCAGGTGAGGGGCTAAGGACAGTGGTTGCTGCTGAGAAGCCTTCTCTGCCTTACGCTCCATCTCCTCCTTCCTCTGGGCCCGGCTCTCCTCTGATACCTTCCGATGACCTGTGCTGTTTTGTGGGCAGAAGGCAGCGCCAGGCTGCAGCACAGCTGGAGAACCCTCGGGCACCAGCATGGCATTCCAGAGCCTCTGCCAGCTTACAGACCTACGAGGTCGAGCTGGAGATGCAGGCTTCTGGCCTTCCCAAGCTGCGGATTAAAAAGATAGACCCCAGCTCTTTGTTAGAAGCCGAGCGTCTAAGAAAGGAGGAGAGCTGTCTGGGAGAGGAGAGCTTCTGCCCAGGTCTCAGCATGCCCAGGGGCAGCAGGGTCTCAGGCAAACACGAACCCACCTACATGTCACCCCCCTGCCTCCGCCCCTCCCACAGCACGCCCGGCAAGAGTGGGGGGCAAACCTACATCTGCCAGTCCTGTACCCCCACCCGCTGTCCCTCTAGTACGCCCTCTCCCTTTCAAACAGATGTTGGGGTTCCTTGGACACCATCCCCCAAGCACAGTGGGAAGACAACGCCTGACACAATTAAAGACTGGCCCAGGAGGAAGAGGGCGGTGGACTGCAGCGCCGGCCCCTCTGCTGGAAGAGGTGAGGTCAGTACAGACCTTTCTGGGAGCCTGTGGTTGCTGGAGCCCGAGGGAAAGGAGCGAGGCCTGGAAGTCGGCATCCACAAGGCTCCCATCTTGGAGGATTTTGAGCTCGAGGGGGTGTGTCAGCTGCCAGACCAATCGCCCCCCAGGAATGGTGTGCCTAAGGCTGAGGATGCCACCTCATGGGGGCAGTTCAGGCTGAGTTCCAAGAAGAGATTCCTGTCGGCTAAGGAAGAAGCTGAGTATGGAGCCAAACGAGTGTGTGACGGCCTGGGAGAAGACTCAGAAGTTAGTCAGAGTGAAGAGAGGTCTCCAAAATCAAGTATGCAACAGCTCCCCTCCACAGGAGACGACGAGGTGTTTGTTTCTGGTGAGTGTGTTTTTGACGTGCCATGTTTCTGTTGGGCAGGGTATTTGGTGAGGAGGCATTTGCAGTTGCTTCTTAGGAAGGCTTGGGCTTCCTTGCTTGGAGCTCCACTGACCCTGTGGGATCTCTCTAGGCTCCACCCCACCTCCCAGCTGTGCCCCGTGGAGCTGCCTCTCTGCCAGCGGTCTCCAGGCTCTGACCCAGTCTCCACTGCTGTTCCAGGGGAGGACGCCTTCCTCTCAGTGCAAAGACCACAGAGGTAATTTGTTTGCTAGAGGTCCAGGATCAAGCTCCTGTCCTGTGCTTGACTCCCTTAAGTTCACTCAGGGTTGCCAGGCAACTCAATTTTGGAGGAGCCTTGGGGAATGCCAAGTATGGGATAGAGGATTTTCTGCCTGCAGTGGCATGTACCCTTCCCAGAGGAACTCCACGTCTATGGAGTGTGCAAACTGTACATCTGAACAGAAACCCCCTCAAAATCCTACTAGAAAATCTTAAACTATTCAATCTTCCTGAAGATGGTGACAGCAGCGGGCACACTGCAATGAACTGCTCACTTAGACCCTGCACAGGAAGGTGTTCTGAGCAGCACGAATGATAGCGTGTTTGAGCCAGGTCCCCGCAGCGGGTCTCTCCTGTTTTCTGTACGTGTGGCATGATGACTGTAGTGGCGACCAGCCTTCAGGCTCTAGGACTCGCCTTCCATGATGCCATCTGAAATAACAGGATCTGGCCTATTGACTGCACTGTTAGAACTGAAAGGGAGTGTAGGAGGTGGTTCTCTTCCCTCAAAACTGGGATGAAGTCATACAAAATAGCATAACCCCACAGATCTGAGAGCTGAAAGAATGTACAGTGTGTCGGACTGGGGGAATTCAAACTATAGGTACTTTGCATATTTACAGTTGCTTCCTGTCGGCTCAGGCGTAACTGTTGAGGGCGGAGGGCCTTGTAAGAAGTGTAACATTGCTGCAGGACGAGGGAACCTCCAAGCAGTGCTGATTTTCTTAAGTCCGCTTTTATGTGTAACCCTCTGCAGTTTAAGCCCATTTTTTTTGTTCAGTGCTTGGTTATTCCCTGCATGCTGAGTCTTTTTCTGCCTTTTTCTAGGTGAGGAGAGGGATGTATTTCCCTCCGCCGCAGAAGAATCTCCTTTCAGCCGAGCACTCTCTAGGAGACGCCCCATCAGCAGAACTTACTCACGGAAGAAGCTCATCAGCTAGTCAGGATGGAACCCAGTCGGAGGACTTACAACCACAAACACGACTGAGCTCAAAAGAGGAAGGTGACGTCACAGGACCCCATGGGCATAAATTGAGGCTCTGGTCTCAAGCTCCTTTTATGGTGGTCAGCGTTCAGATCCCCTTTAGATGCCACAGGGTTTCCACTTCCCTTCATGGAGTCTGTCCACCCCAGGCGCTGCCCCTTGTCATGGGGAGGCTGGGCGGAAGGCAGTGAAGCTGGTGCCGTAACTCAGGCAGCCCTGGGAGTCAGGAAACCAGGCGAGGAATTGCAAGACTAGAATCCCAGTCCAGCCCCACCCCAGCCGTGACCATGGCAAGTCAGAGGGCTGCTCTGTGCCTTGCTTGTGAAAATGGAGAAAGGGGCCCTGCCTTGGGGTCCCTCGAGGGGCTGCTATAAGGCACTACAATGTGGGCAGTGTTTTGTAAACTGTGAAGCCCCGTATATGAGGCTGCAGTGGGCGGCAGAAATTTTTTGCATTCCCCACGGAACAATAAAATCGTCTCTGGTAACTCGGCATTCAGTCCATTTGTTCCGTGGCAGAGCTCTAGTATTTTCTGGAGCAGCCACCTTTCAAGGTCTGCCCTGAGAGTCAGCCAGCTCATGGCATGGGCCTTGGCCAGGACCTGGCTGACAGCACTGACTCAGAACTGTCTCACAAAAGGGTTCAAGCCTATTGTGTTCCCAAATCTGCTTCCCCCTATTGTCTTGCAAACCAAACTCTAAGTGGAAATTCCCATTTCTCCCTTCAGAGATTGTTTATTATTAAATGTTTTATTAAGATTATAAAATGTGCTAATAAGTTTCCCAGTTCCTCCTTTACACATAAGACCATTTAAACCACAACCCTATTGCCACTGACCATTTTGGGACAAGACCTGTCTGAATCCCAGAACTGTGGGCACACACTTATGCCTGAGACCAGAATTGTCCTGAAACTCTTGCACAAGACCAAAGGTGTCAATCAGGTACTGCAGCTTAAAGGAAGTGAGTGGTAGAAGTCCAGTTCTATTGGGCTGTGGCCCAAATTTGTTGACTCCACTTAGCATGAAGCTGAGGACCCGCATTTAGGGTGCGAGGTAAAGACTGTCCTTCACAGAAGCAAAACAAGCAACTGCACCTTTCAGCAGGATCGGAGTCTCCCTCCAAGGCAGGAGTCTGCCCCAACGGCCTACAGGGGGTTTCTCCGGACGTCAATCATCCCTGGGCTAGTTCTTCGTAGCTCCCGCCGGGACTTGGGCAGAGGCCCGAAGTTCCAGGGCAGGCCCACCTCGCCCGCAGGCAGCACCCGCCCCAGCAGGGGCTCAGCGGCCTCCCGCTGCCTCAGCTCCTCGGGGGAGCCCTGCTCTTCGCCGCTCAGGCTCGTGCGTTTCCAGGTCACTGGTAGTGGAGCGTGGACCAAGTCCCGCATCTCCTCCCGGGTGCGGGGGACGCCCTCAGCGAGGGGGGACAGCCAGAGAAGCTCGGGCACTGGGTGCAACTCCTCTTCACCCCCAGGGGCTTGTCTGTTCTCCAGGCACAGGCTCCTCTTCTCCCCACCTGTCATAGAGAATGACACGTCCCTGTTGGAAATGGAGGTGACAACACCTTCCCAAAGTCCTAGCTTCCCTTCCCAAAGTCCTAGCTTCCCAATGCCCCAGCACAATAAGCAGCCTGTGACATGAGCCCCTAAGCCCAAGTGAGGGTGGCTGCCAAGCTTTCCTCAGAACACAGGACTAAGCCTGGCTGTAGGGCAAGCAGGGCCAGGAAGGCACGAAGACAACAGGTAAAAATTACCCCTGCTCTGGCCTGCAGCAGTCACACCACTGAGCTTCTGCTTTAGTTCCTGGTTTATCCACATGTGGCGGCCCAGTTCCTTCTCCAGAGCTTGAATCCGGGCGTCGTATTGTCTCTTGCTGTCCGCCAAGCCCTCCCCGAGGTGGTCTAGAGGGAAAGGCGGAGGTGAGTGGTGCGGGGCTGTGGGCAGCTGGGCAGGGCAGGCAGCAGGGCCTGCGAGCGGTGGCCAGGGCTGCCTCACCGCGGCTCTGCTGGAGCAGGAGCTGCATGTTCTGCTCGTGCTCCTTCTGCTGCAGGGTCAGCTGGCGGTCCATCTCCAGGCGCTGCCGCTCCAGAGCCACCTCCAGCCAGTACACCAGCCTCTGCTGCTCCTCCAGTTGCATCTCCAGCTCCGAGAAGGCGATCTGCTGCTGGTGCTGCTCCTCTCGGAGCGTCACCACCTGTCCCGAGACCCAGCCACGCTCAGCCACCTTCCACTCAGGTCATCTTCAACCAGGGACAGCAAGTATTGACAGACTTGACACCTTGGTGCCATGTCGCTAAGAAATCACCGGGGTCTTTCCTGCTGAGCTAAGACTTAGCCTCAGATGCCTTCCAGGCAGTGTTCCAGTGACCATTTGCAAACGATCAGAGCTGGCCCTCGAGATGGAACTCATCTGCCATCTCTGCCGCAAACCCTTTGCTAGCCCCACACCACCGAGCTGCTGGGCAGAGCCTCAGGCTGTGGAATTTCATCTGGGCCAACCTCAGCACTAGGGACGTTTCAGGCCAGATAATTCTTGGCTGTGGCAGCCTGTCCTGTGCCACTGTAGGATGTTTAGTAGCATCCCTGGCCTCCACCCCCACCACTGTGAAAACCAAAAGTAGCTCCAGACATGGCCAAATGTCCCCCCAGGGCCAAACCATTCCCTGTTGAGAACCACTGATCTGGCCAAGGGCTACCCTCAACGCAGCCAATAAGACCAGAAGGAGGTAGAGAAGATTGGGTCTTAGTTTCACTAAGGAAAACAGGCTTTAAAGAGGAGAGTCAGGAGACGCTCTGGAGCCCCGGAGACAAGGTGGTCCTTATTCTGTTCCCCTATCTGGGAGGTAACGGGACATTCGCTGAGAAGCTGCCATCTGACATCCCCACGAGTTGCAGGAGGCGGCAGGGAGTTCGTGGGCTGGTGACCCACCTTGTCGAAGTACTTGCAGAGTAGGGCTCTGGTCTCGGAGGATGAGAGGTAGCTGAGCTTGGCCATGAGGTTCATCTCGCACTGGGACAGCAATGAGGCTGAAGCTCGAAGCACCCGCTGGCGGCACGTGATGGCTTCGTTCTTGTACTCGATGGCAGCGTCTAGGGCCTCGATGGCCTCATCCAACTGGAACAGTGTCCGCTCCTCCTACAGGGATGGGCACGTATGGAGGGGGTGTACCAGGCTTCCTGTGCCTCAGAGCACCCACTCTGCGAACACCAGTCCTGGGCGGACACATGACAGTCAACACCCAGCCTTAAGCGTCCCTTCCTCCTGAGGGCAGTCAGCACATCGAGAGAGAGGTGCCCCCTGCTCACTGTCCCAGCCTTGACCTGGGGGAGAGGGTGGGGCACGGCCAAGAGGCTGCTCGCTTGGGTGCATGCCCTCCTGAGTGAGCTACACGGGAAGCTCAGAACACCCAACGTGGAACCATAGCCAGGGTTGGGATTGCCACAGAGGCACCATAAGGTCTTCCAGGTAAGTTTATACAGCCACGAGTCACTTAACAATGGGGACACTCAGAAACCGTCGTTGGGCAGTTTCGCCATTGTGTGAAAATCACAGCACGTGCTGGCACAGACCTAGATGGTGCAGCCTACTACGCACCTAGACTGCCTGGGGCCGCCCACTGCACCCAGGTGTGCCCAGGCTACAGACCTGGACGCATGCAGTTACTGTGCCGCATACTATAGGCAACTGTAACACGATGGCATGTATCTGTGCATCTAAATGTATCTAAACATAGAAAAGGGACAGTGATGATACAGTATCTCATGGGACAACCACCATATATATGTGGTCCCTCATTCACTGAAACTTTGGCACGCAGCACATAACTGTATTCACGTAGGACTCCTCTCTGCTCAGGGAACACAAGCGTGCGGCCAAGGTGGGCTGAACATGTGCCGACACGCAAGCCCCCCATGGGGGACTGAGATGCTCAAGCACAAGTTCTAACGCAGCACGCAACTGAAGGAGTGCAAGTTCCAGCTGGAAGGGAACTGGGAGGTCACGTGGCTGGGCCCGTGTGTCCCAGACAAGGGGGCCAAAGCAGCGGGCAGAAGGGCCAAGCCAGCCCCCGCCCCACCTTGCAGGGCCTAACACACAGCGGGACTTGTGCACAAGCAGCAAGGCAGCACCACACGGGGCCAGAGAGTGGCCTGAGGCAGGCTGCAGACAGCCGGACCACGGGAGCAGAGAGCCAAGCGGAAGGGCCGAGCTGCAGGGCCACCCACAGGACGCACCTCAGGCGACAGCAGGCTGCCCTGCTTCAGCTTGCTGTCGATCTCCAGCCGCTGCTTTAGCAGTGAGTCCTTCTCCTGGCGCAGGCTGTCGATCTCCCCTCGGATCTGCTGCTGGCTCTGGGCGCTGCCCTGCCGCAGCTGCCCGCTCTTCTCCGAGAGCTCCTTCTCCAGGTGCTCCAGCCGGCTGGACACTCGCACGATGTCCTCGTTGAGGGCCTGGGGGCAGCACCACCAGGGATTAGGCAAGGAGCAGGCGCCACCCTCACAGTGTGGACAGAAAGGGCCAGCCCAGTCACTGGTGCTAAGGAGGATGTGGGTTCTTCCCTCGGGAAACCTACAAACTGTACGTTCTGTCAAGCAGGAGGCCCAAGTTTTAGTTCACAGAAACTCAGGGAGCCAGGGCCAAAAGCCCCAGAGATGGCCAGAGGGGGATCTGTACAAGCAGAGGGAAGAGGCCCTCCTGGCAAGGAGGGATGACATGGGCAAAAGGGGTGGGGCTGGCCTATCACTGAGATGACCGACTGGAAAGTGACAAAAATTATGGGAAATCAGTGGACAACCGCCCAGCCTTTCCTGGAGCTGAATGAAGAAGTGAGGGGTCTAAGGGCCAAGGGAGGTTAGGGACCATCCAGCAGCACCCTCATCCCCCTTGGACTTCAGAGTGCTCCCTGACGGCAGGAGCAGGGTCCTGGCCTGTGGGTCTGGAACCCCTTGGGAACCTAGCCAGCACCTCTACTGGAACAGGCTCTGCGTTTCTGTTTGACAACCACCCCCAGCCCTGATCACCATGGCAACATTTGACAGAAGAGGAAACTATGGCCCAGGAGCTGACCTTCCTAGTCAAGAGGGAGTGATGAGTGAGGATGCCAGGTGCAGAAGTCGCTTTCTATTTGGCCATACGGCGTTCCTATACCTGCTCTTCCTCATGCTTGCCGCACAGGCCCCAGGCAGCTGGTTAATGAGTGAAATGAATTGTAGGACAGGTGCTTGGAGGGATTCCTCTACCCACACTTCAGTACTTACATCATAAACATCCTAAAGCCTAGAGATCTTGAGGATCCATGGGATATAACCCAGTAGGACAGAGCTTCACCTGCCTGGAACTTACCTGGCAGAGACATCATGTAGAAGAACCTCACCTGTCTAGACCTCACCTGGCTGGACCGCAGGCGCTTGCTCTCCAGCCCCGTCTTCTCCTGCATCAGGGCCTCCTTCTTGGCCAGGATGGCCTCCCGCTTGTGCAGCTCCTCCCCCAGCTCCTCCAGCGCCCGCCGCTGCTGCAGCACCTTCTCCATCTCCTGGTCCAGCCACTTCTTCTGCTCCTCGATCTTCTGAGGAAAGTGGGGAGGCCACTCAGTGCCACCTATGGCTGCGTGAGCCGCTACCCGAGGTCCACTGGGGAGAATGGTGCACCCACCTGCCAGCCCCCAGGGGACCCTGGCAAGTGGCCAGGGCGGCCCAGCCAGGCCACGGGAGCTCTGGGAGGTGCGGGCGAAGCCCAGTCCCACCTGCTGCTGCTCCAGGCTGACCACGGAGCCGTTGCTGCCGCTGCGCCGCTTCCTCTGGAATGCCGCGATCTCTTCTGTCTTGATTTTCAGGATCTTTTGCTGCTGTTCATGCTTCAGCTCCAGCTCCTGGGTGAGGAAGCTCGTGAGCGTGGCTGTTTACGGTGCCAGCGTCTTACCAGAGCCAGCCGGTGATCCCAGAGCCTGCAGGAGGGTCCCGCACTCCCCGGACAGCCCTGCAAATCGTCCCCCACACGTCTACCTGGGTGCCAGGAAACAGATGCAAATACTTGTCCCTGTGAGATACCAGTCACCTACATACTTCATCTCACTGAAGTTGCACCTGAGCCTTGTGTTTCCAATAGCACTCCATTTTCAAATGGAAAAACAAACTCAGAGAGGCTAAGTGGCACGTTTTATAAGGCCACATGGCTATGAGAGGAGGACCCTGCCTGGGCTCCCTGGGATGAGCCCCAGGCTCGGCCTCCTGGGCTGGAGAGAGGGCGCCCCGCCCCGCCACGAGCCTGACCTTGACGCGGTGCTGCCGCTTGTTCATCTCCGTCTCTAGGCGCCGCTTCTGCTCCGCTTCCTCCCGCAGCCGCCTCTGCAGCTGCCCCTGCTGCTGCCGCATGAGCCGCACGTTCCTCTCCAGCTCCTGGAGCCGCTTCTCGCTCTGGGCCGACAGCGACACCAGCCGCTCCGTCGCCTGCTTCTTTTCCTTCAGCACCTGGGACCCACACAGTCTCCGCTGGGCGGTGCACGGGCCACCTGGAGCCTGGCATAGTGCCCGGACTCAACAAGGGTGGGAAAGGCCCAAGGACAGATAAATGGACAGAGGAATAGATGGAAAGAAAAACAGGTAGGTGGATGATAGACTAATAATAACAAGATACTGACAGTAGAAGCTACTATGACATTTACCATGCCCCAGGCACCATACTAAGTGCTCTGTATTAAGTGATCCTAACAAGCCTAAGAAACAGTATAATTATCATTATTCCTATTTAACAGATTAGAAAACTAAGGCCCAGAGAGGTTAGGAAACTTGACCAAGGACACACAGTAAGTGGCCGAGCTGGGACTCACAGGTGAGGAGTCAGGCTCCAGAGCCCCGCACTCAACCATTCTACTACATTGTCTCATGGAGAAAAGAAGGAATGGATAGTCGATGGACAGCTGCAAAGATGGAGAGGTGGGTGGGATCATATAAAGGTAACAAACAGGGACAGTGTTGTGGGCCGAATTGTGTCACCCCAGAATTGCTGTATGGAAGCCCTAACCCCCAGTACCTCTGAATGTGACTGCATTTGGAGAGAGGGTCTTTAAAGAGGTGATTAAGGTTAGATGAGGCTATCAGGGTGAGCCCTAATCCAACAGGACTGGTGTCCTTAAAAGAAGAGGAAGACACACCAGGGGTGCAAGTGCACAGAGAAAAGGCCACATGAGGACAAGCAAGAAGGCGGCTGTCTGCAAGCCAAGAAGAAAGGCCTCAGGAGAGGCCAGACCTGTGGACACCTAGTGTCCAGAACTGTGAGAAACCAAACTTCTCTTGTTCAAGCCATCCAGTGTCTGGTACTTTCTACCGGCAGCCCTAGCAAACTAACACGGATAGACAATGCACGAATCAATAACACGGAATGGAAGGGGGATGGACACATGGGTAGGTGGACAGCTGTTCAGTCCACTGGTAAAAGGCTAGACAGATGAGTCAGAGGGACCACGGGCTGACAGACAAGCGAGGACGGGCTGAGGGGTGAGTGAGCGGAGAGCCGGAAGGAGGATGGGTGGACGGAGGGCGGGAAGGGCTGCATGCCCAAGGGCAGCTTTCTGTAGATGCCCGGCCCTCAGCCTCTCACTGGGCTCCTAGGTGGTCACCAGGCAGTACCCGCCTCCCTGCTTCTGCTGTGTTTAAGGCTGAGCTGAGAACCCCGGCTTCCGTACAATGCCAGCCTCGCCCTGGGAGGCCGGGGTGGGCTGGGGCACAAGGGCCTGAGTAGGTTCCACAGTGAGCGTGTGGCTCAGAGCCCACGTGTCCTGGTCCCAGGGACCACAGCTGGGAAGCCAGAGCCGCCCACACCCTTCACCCTGCGCCCCGACACTGACCTGCACCTGGCTCTGGGCTGCAGCAACCCTCTTGCGGAACTCCTGGAGGCGGGACCGCTCCCCGGCGTCCTGGGGCTCCCTGCCCTCCAGCTCCCGCAGCTGCCTCTGGCCTTCGCTGAGCTCGGCCCGCACCCGCTCCGCCTCCCGCTCCAGCTCCTGGATGCGCTGGCTGTGCTGGCGGTTCAGGGCCTGCGCCGCCCTCCCTGGGAGAAAGCCGGCCGTCAGCACAGGCGGCTGTGCTGCACCCGGCGTGCCACCTGTCCCTCCGCCTGGGCGCTTTCCCAGCCCTTGCACACCTGCGTGGATTTTGCCAAAACTTTGTACCACCAGTACCGTGATTTTCTTAAATATTTTTCTTCAAACCAACCCACTTTCAAAATGACCCTTTATCCACTGCAGTGAACCAAGGAAATTACAAATCAAGTAATTTTATTTTTACCTAATACATGCTAAAATAAACACATAACTTGAACCTGCATATAATTAAGCATCTGGATCTAACTTCCACTTGCAAGAAATCTGGAGGACGGGAACAAGTCAAATGACACCACAAGAAAACAAGCAGACAAACTCAAAATACTTGGGGTTTGGAACATTCTAAGGATGACTGTGAAGAGGTGACAGAAGGGAGACTTCAGACTTTAGAAGCGAATATGGTCTGCATCCACAGGGTTCAACCAACCGGATGGAAAATATTTGGAAAAAAAAAAAAAATGGACGCTTGTGTCTGTATCAAACACGTACGGACGTTTTTCTCATCATTATTCCATAAACAATATAGATTAACAATGATTTGAGTTGCATTTATGTTGTATCAGGCATTATAAATAGTCTAGAGATGACCAAAAGCACCCAGAAGGACGTGTGTAGGTTGTGTGCCAACACTGCGCCGTTTTATATGGGGGACCATGAGCACACGAGGATTCTGGTATCGCAGGGGCTCCTGGAACCGATCCCCCGTGGATGCCAAGGGACAACTGTGTATGTGTGGGGGGCACGTCTGGGCCTGGCGCAAGCGACAGGTGCGGACACACTGCTGAACAACCACGGTACCAGCTCGCCCCGGGCGCTCAGAGCTCATCAGCTTTGTGGGATGTGCGAACGGCATCTCGGTTCGGTGAAAACGTCCACAGTTTTAGAGAGGCACCCTGCACGGTATAGGGACGAAAGACTCGGCGTCTGGGATCTGCTTCAAAACATTTCAGCCAAGAGAAAAGGGAGAGGAGAAACAAATGTGGAGAAATCCTGGTAGCTGCTTACTCTGGATGGTGGGTGTCTGGGGATCACTGTACTAGTCTCTCTTCTTACATGTGGGTTTGAAAACTTTCAGAATGCATTCTATCATAAATAAATTCACAACTGTTAAAAAGGCTCACCTGGTCAGCACCTGAAATCGTCCCCTGGTCCTTTACTCATCACCAGTAGTATGCGTAGCAAGGCTCGGTCACGCCCCACCCCGTGTGCTCCCCGGACCAAGAGGTGCTGTGCTCAGCGTGGTGCCTGAGACACAGCAGCCGCTTGATAAGCAAGACACCACCTCGAGCTATTCCAGACACTACCTAAATGATACTACCTAAATACTACCTACTCATTTCACCCTCACGACACCCCTGAGACGCAGGTACGATTACCAGCCCCATTTTACAAATGAAAACACGGAGGTCCAGAGGGGTTGTGCTACTTGCTCAAGGTCGCACAGCTGGAAGAGGCTGAGCTGCGTGTCACACCTAGGCCATCTGGCCCCTGCTCCCAACCGCCACACTGCTGAACCCTCTCTAAGACAGTGTGGGAGAAGAAACCAGTGAGAACCCCCCAGGTGGGAGGCCTACCGCAATGCCCACTCTCACCTGTGCGGACCAGCTCGCCAATGAGCTCCTCCTTCATGCGGATGTTGATGGCCAGCTCCCGGATCTTCTGCTGGGCCTGGGCCAGCCGCCACTCGGAGGCCGTGGCAGTGGGGGCCTGTCGGGCCTGAACCAGGGCCTTGCTCCCACCAGCCACTGCAACAGGCAGACTGCCAAGGTCACCATACCAACGACAGCGGGGGAGGTAGAGGAATGGAGAGCGGGGGCATGGCCAGTGCAGGGGCTGCAGGGATGGTGAGGCGGACTGTCCCAGGGTGGCCGGCCCAGGACCATAGAGCGGAAGGGCTGAGGAGGCCCCCCGTGTCCCCCCACCAAGCTTACCTCTGGGCCCCAGGATAGCCACATCCAGCTCTTCAAGGCGAAGCTCTGGGCCCTTCCTGTCTGGCGGACTCCCTGGGCGGGCCCCCACCCTCTGGCTGCAGTTGCCGATTCCATTTCTGGAGGGCAGAGCAGGAGTCTGCACTGCTCCCCAGTCCCTGCCCCAGCCCGGCCACCTCCCAGCCCTGGAGGGAGGAAGAGAGGCCACTGCGCCTTCCATCTTCGAGTCAATGTAACTCAGGAATGTAAGTCTGGCCAGTCAGAGCCCAGGAGCAGAGCTGAGGAGGTACAGGACAGCTGGGCACCAAGGGCCGCCTTGGCGGCTGAGAACCAGGAGGCCAGGGCCTCCCTGTTTCAACCCACTCCAGTGAGACCCCTCCCGGAGAACTGGCCGGGGCGTGTAGGTGAGGGCACCCGAGACCTGAGACGCTTCCCCCTCTGCTGTCGGGGAGGGGATGGGGGGATCCTCATTCTGCTCCGGCCCAGCCCCAGGCCCCGAGCAGGCCCTGGTCAGGTCAGGCAGCGGGCCCACTCACCTGCGCAGGGGCAAGGTCTGCCTGGGCAGCTCCTCCTCCTCCTCGTCCTCCTCTGCTGACGCAGCTGAAGAGCCACTTTCCAGCCTGTCCACCTCAGCCAGCAATTCAGCTCCAGCCTCCCTGCCATGTGTCACCTGCTAGGGGAGTGAGCCATTTCCCATCCTGAGTCTCTGCTCCTGCAGCGTGCCCTGCCTGTCCTCCTCACGCCTCTGCCTGGAGCCCAGCTCAAATGACACCTCCAGGAAGCCTTCCTAATCTCAAGCTGGAGCAAGAGCTTCTGCCCGCCCCTCCACCCCGCTCCTGCTCCCATGGCCCCTGGTACTCCTCAGATGACAATCTGCCCTTTCTATCTTGTGCCCGGGTCATCTGCACCCAAGTCCTATCTCACCAGCAGTTCCCTGCCAGAATGCGGGTGCACAACAGACTTCTGCCAAGGGCTTTTAGAGCTTAGGTGACCCAGAGCTTTCAGGCATGGCAGGAACAGCCTTTGTCCAAAAGGTTTTGACTGGCAGAACTAGAAGCAGGAGACCACAGCTCATGTAAAAGTGAACTTGCAGAAAGCCACCCAAAGGCAGAGGGGATGGCCTCCGAGGTGATGAGCCCTCTGTCTGCAGAGGTGCGAAAGATTTCTATCTGGCACCAGAAGCCCCTCTGCGACCTCCCCCAGGGATGCCCAATGGCACTGGATCCTTCTGAGAGGCCTTGCAGAGTCACCCAAACTGTGTCCCTTCCCCTGGGAATACTGAAAGCAGCCCCTCACATCGCCCACCCATGAAAGCACGGAGAGGGACGTGTGTCCCTCACCACCCTGCTCCTGCCCCAGCCTGACCAGTCTAACGAGGCCCAGCAGACACCAGCCTCACCCCTCCTCACCTCTCCCCGCTGCTCAGGGCCACCTTCATCCCCAGGGAGGCAGGCAGGAGGCACCATGCCCAGGACGTGGGCGTGGGCGCCCCCCAGGGGGGCTGTGTGAGGCCGAGGCACAAAGGACCCCGGGGACAGGCCCTGCAGGAGCCCTGGGGCCCCCCAGCCAGGCCGCGCCAGCTCTAGCCGCAGCCGCAGCTCCACCATCTCCTCCTGCTGCTCCCGCAGCCGGTCACTCTGCAAGACAGGGTTCCGGTGCTGAGGGGGTGTGGATGCTGGGGACAGGGATGCTCTGACCCTGTCACCGTCTCATCACACTCCCACCATGCCAGCCCGCCACCTCCAACCACTGCCACCAGAGGGCGCCAGGTGCAACGCCGACCTGGTTACACCTGGCTCCAAGGTCCCATGCTGCTGCCCCTCCAGCCCACCCTCCCGCCCATGTTCACCGCCACCCAACAAAGCTGTCCTGCTGGGGGCGCCCGCACTGTTCTGTTGCTCACCCCACACGTTTGCTCATGCCCGCACCCCCTGCGTCCCCAGGCTGGCTAACTCCCTCTCATCCTGAGAAACTCGGCTCCGACTTCCCCTGCTTCCTCCTCTGGGAGGCCCTCCCCGCACTGTGCGCTGCGGAAGGGACGGCCCCACCTGCAGTTTGTACTGCTCCATGGCATCCTCCAGCGCAGCCAGGAAGTCGCGGTTCTCCTCCTCCAGCCGGGCCACCTGGCTCTGCAGGCTCAGCAGCTGCTGCGCCCCCTCATCTTCCTGTGTGCAGGGGGAGAGGAGAGGCTTCAGGGGCCGCGCTTGGCAGGGCGCGCTGGACACCCCGGTCCTTTCTACGCTCTGCCGTCGGCTCATCCAGCCCTGCTTCCTACCTACGCTGTTCCAAGCCCTGCCTGCAACGGGGGCTCCGGACCCACTGGAGGAGAGGGCACCCCAGACCCCGCCTGGCCTGAAGTCCCCTCTGCAAGCCATTTGGGCCATCTCTTGTAATTACTAATCATATTTTTATTAGTAATAACATAACCCCTATTATTATTATTACAGGAACAACTTAGCCCTCACCAGCATGCCCGGCACTTGTTACACTTCAGCCCTACAACGTCCCCAGGAGATAAGTGCTAAGGTTACAGCTATATTTCACAGATGGAGCTCCTAAGAGTCAGCCAGGGAGGGCCCGTGCCAATGGACAGGGTGCAGGGGCACAGCTGGCTGTCTGAAGACCCTCTTCCTTCCTTCCTTCCTTCCTTCCCTGTGCCCTCCCCGGGGACACACCCGGCCCTTGGCCACCTTTCTCCTGCCGGGCTCCTGCGCTGCCTGGTCCTCGGCGGAGGCGCTCTCGATGCCACTGTCGGGCCCGGAGGCGGAGCTCAGGGCGCTGCGCTCGCCCTCCACGGCGCACAGCCAGTCGCGCACCTTGCGGGCGGCGGCGCCGGGCAGCCCGGGCTCGGCCTGCAGCTCGCGCAGGAGGCTGTAGGCGGCGTCGGTGCAGGCCCGGTAGCGCGCGCACTCGGCGCCCAGGCGCGCGGCGGCGCAGGCGGCACGGCCCGGGGCGCGCCGGCCGCGGTGGATGATGCGCGTCTCGGAGCGGTGGCGCGGGGGCCCCCGGGTGCCGGCCGCAGCCTCGTCGGGCGCCCGCTCGGCCTCGGGCCGCCAGTTGACCGTGGCGCGGTTGCGGATGTTCTGGGCGCGGCTGGCGTAGTTGAGCGTGTTGAGGGTCTCGTCGAAGTCGGAGGAGGAGGGGCTGACGCAGGCGATCATCACCGTCTTGGCGTTCCCGCCCAGCGAGTCCTTGAGGATCCTGCGTGCACGGGGCCAGGCGTCAGGGGCCCCAGCGCGGCAGGGCCAGCGCGCCAGACCCCGCCAGGCTCTTTCACGTGGCCCCTGCGGGCGGGGACCTCGGACTGCAACGGCGCGTGAGCTGGAGTCAGAGGGGTTTCCACCCCCCAGTAGGGGCTTAAACCCCACCCCAGGCAGGACAGGAGCCGAGGGGCGGCTCACCGGGTGATCTTGGAGTCGCGGTAGGGTATGTGGCTGCCTCGGCGCTGGGGGTCCCCCAGGGCGCTGATGACGTTGCCCAGCGCCAGGAGGCTGCTGTTGATCTGGATGCTCTCCTTGAGCCGCTCGCCCGTGCTGCCCGTCTTGAGCACCCTCTCTGAGCCCGCCAGGTCCACGAAGTGGAACTTGGAGACGAGCAGCTGGCCCGCAGCGGGGCGCGGCAGGCGGCTGGGGGCACGCCCCCGCTGCTCCAGGGTCACGGTGAAGACCGTGTGCGAGCGGCTGGACAGGCGGTTGAGGTGCGTGCCCCCCGTGTGCCGCGCTGCGTTGCCCATCTCCAGGACGCTCAGCACCTCGTCCAGGCCCTCCACGTCCACCTCCTTCACGCCACACAGCACTGCGGGCACGGGACGCTGTGAGCCCGGGCAGCCCGGGACTGCCCGGCCAGGAGGGCAGCAGAGCGTGCTAGCCCTCCACCCGCTGTTCCTCCCCCAGGTGCCCCTCCCCTCCTGTGCCTATGGGTACAGAAGAACGCACTGACTCAGTGGGCACAGGGGAAGCTAAAGCAAAACCTTCCGGGGATCAGGACTGCCACGAGGAGGTGCCCCTCTCAGGCAGGTAAGCCACCCCGGGCCAGACGCCCCATCGGCCAGGGGAGAACCCCAGCGTTCCTCACCAACATTCCCACGCTCATCTTCCCGAAGCTGGATGTCGCGGCTGGCGGTGCCCACCTCAAGCAGGTCCCGGAACTCCTCCCTGTACACTTCCAGGTAGGACACGTGCACCAGACAGTCCAGCAGGTCGTTCTCATCGATGAGCTTGAAGGCCTCGGCCATGGCTCTCGGGATGATGCCCTGCTCATCCTCGTGGAGGGAGGCTGGGGAGACACCGCAGGGCCTCCTGCCACCACGTCTTCAGCCAGACGTGGCCCAAGGCCCCTGGGCCCCACCGAAGCTGGCGGATGGCGCTCGGGATGGGGAAGCAGCAGCAGAGGCCAGGAAGGGATGGGCAGCCTGGGCTAGGCCACACTCGAGGGTGGTCAGGCAGAATTCCAGAATGTAAGAGTTGGAAGTGACTCTCACGGGTCATTCAAGCCCTGCACGATGTAAGCGCCCTCACTACATCCCAACAGCCAGCAGTCGCCCTTAGCCTGGCAACTGCCTGGGACCGGGGTTCACCATCGCAGCCCATGCTCGGTTATCTACAGGGCCTCTTAAATTCATCCCGAGGAAGCAATCAGCGGCTGTGCGGAAGAGCACTCTGCTCATGGTTCAACAAAATGCGAACAGCCTAAGTGTCCACGCTAAGATCCAACAGGTGATCTGGTTAAATAAACTGCTTTCTATTCACAATGCAATGCCAGGCAGCCATAAAAAATTAGACTGAAGAATATTTAATGATACAGAGAAATGTTCATGATATATTGTTAAGAAAACAGAATGATACAAAAGAATGGGTATAATATAATCCCATTTTTTAAAAGTATGATAATCTTCACAGAGAAAGAAACTGGAATGCTAATGGAGTAAGTGATTTCTGAAAGGCAATTATCAAGTACGTTTTATCCCCTGCATGTGTTTGTATTTTCCTAATTTTCTAGACAAGTATGCTTCTGCAACTGCTATGTTTATGTCTCTCCCAAATTCAAGTACTGAAATCCTCACCCCATTGTGATGCAAGTGGGGCCTCAGGGAGAGACTGGGTCGTGGGGGTGAACCCTCATGAATGGGAACAGTGTCCTTATAAAAGAGGCCCAGGAGACACCCCTTCTCTCTTCCACCATGTGTGCTGAGAGAGAGGAGGAGGCTTTAAGAGGAAACAGGCCCTTGAATCTGCTGGTGCCTTGATCTTGGACTTCCTGGGCTCCAGAAATAAATTTCTGTTTATAAGGCACCCAATCTATGGAATTCTGTTGCAGCAGTTGGAAGGGAACAGGGCTACCGCCCTGCCTTGTTCATATTACTTAAAAGGGGGCTGTTCCTTCAGTTGGCCCAAGGCATCTTTCTGAAAACTGCCCCAGAGCCTCACCAAACCAGCCTGCAACCCTGCCATGCAGAAGCCCAAGCTGCTTCTGGAACTAACACTCCTCATTCCCAGCTGTGTTCCAACTGGAACACAGATTCTTGACCCTCGGCAGCCCTCCTGACAACCTCCAGAGACACGCCACCTTCCCATTCCCTTCCTCCCCTGAGGTCCCCAGAGCCAGGCAGAATGGCCCCATCTCTATGGAGTTGAGAAGGCCGCTCAGCTCCAGCAGCCCTTCCTTCCCGCCCTGCCCTGCCCAGCCCACCGATGTGGCCTGTGCCCACTGGACTGCAGATCTGTCTGGGAAATCGACTCTCCCTCCTTCAGTGTCCCCACCTTCAACAGGGACTGGCAGCAAAAGGGCAGGGGCAGAAATTCAGGAAGACACAGAGGCCCCTCAAAGTGGGCACAAGGCCACAAGCAGGGTCACTCACCCACACTGGCCTCCCCCATGGTGTACGTCTTCCCGGAGCCCGTCTGACCGTAGGCGAAGACGGTGGCATTGAAGCCCTCAAAGAAAGCCTCGAGGAGGGGCTGCACACAGGCCTGGTACACGGCTTCCTGCCCAGTGTTCTCGGCCAGCACCACATGGAAGCCAAAGTGGCGGTCACGGCCCAGGGTGACCCGGCCCTGCTCCGGCTCCACCTGCAGGCAGCTCTGATGCCCGTGCAGCAGCTCCTTGGGCAGCAGCGGGCGCACCCGCAGGGCCACTCTCACAGGGGCCTCCTCTGCCCCTGGCGGCCGCTGGGCCTCCAGCCCCATGCTGAGGGAGCACCGCTGAGGGAGCACAGCTCCCGCCCTGCGGAGAAAGGGAGAAGCTCCTGTCATCAGCACCTGCACTCCAGGGCCTGCACTCGCCCTGCAGGTCACCTGGAGCCAGATCCTGCAGCTCCTGACCTTGAGGGGATGGAGGGAGAGCGGTCAAGGTTCAGAACGACCTCTGTGCCCACCCTGGCGCCCAAACGCTGCACGGGCCATGATAGACATGGTCCTCCACGGTAACACTTCACGGCTCCGTCACCGGCCAAATAAGGCCCTGCCTCCTCCCCTCGGTACCCAGGGGCTTGGTGTTCCAGCTGCACCCTGCCCCTGTGCCCGTCTCCTAGAACACACACAGCACCGCGCCTCGCCACACCAGGGCACTCCTTTCCTGACGCCCACTGGCTAACTGCCACTCCCCGCCTCACCTTCCGCAAAAAAGTCAGCAGATCCTTCAAGACCAAGCTGCCACCGCCAAATCCTGCCAACTCCATCTCTTAATCTCTCTCACCTGGTCCTGGCCACTGACATGGTGCAGAGGTGACTGTGGCCAGCCTTCCCCTGGGTCTCAGTCTCCCTGCCCCCTCCCACAGGGCAGCCAGGGGCATCTTTCAAAAACGTAAATGAAATCGCGTCCCTCCCCTGCTTAAGCCCTCCCCTCAAAAAGTATTCCCAATTCCGGTGGGATTCAAAAGCTCAACGGGGAAAAGATGACAATCCTGCTCACCTCTGTACCCCAGGCCTTTCCTCACCTCTCTGCCTGCAACAGCTGGGTGTCACCAAAGTCTCCTCGCCTCTCTGGGCTTAGGCTGGACCCTCCTTCTTCAGGGAGCCAGGGACGCTCGTCTGCTCTGGTGTGCCCCACCACGACACGCACAATCCCCCCAGCCGCCCCTGACCACTCTGGAACAACTGCCAGGACACCCGCTGTCTGCCTCCACCTTCTGCACCAGCAGCTGGAAGGCAGCGACCCTCTTTGTCCCCTTCGCCCTGTATCACCAGCGCCCAGCACAAGATCCGACGCTGCCCAATAAATAGGGATAATCTTCATCCAAGGGGCTTTCCCATCCTCCGTCCTCTCGCCGCACTCCTCACGCCAACCTCCAGCCCCAGCACGTCATTATTCACCCTTTAACCTCCCTCAGGACACGCACCTGCCTCCGCGCGCCCTCCGCCCCGACGGCCCTCCGCGCGCCCTCCGCCCCGACGGCGCCGGACGCCCCAGGCGCCGCGGGGAGGGAAGCCGGCCCGAGGCGGAGCGCGGGCCGAGAGCTCCCGGGAAGTTGGAAGCAGCGAGTGCCAGCGGGACCGAGGACCGAGCCTCGCCGCCCGCCCGCCGCCCTCCTGGCAGGCCCGGAGGCCGCCGCCCCAGACGCAGGAGGGGCGCCGGCCCGTCGCGGAGGGCCTCCGGGAGGCTGGAGCACGGCGACCGGCCCCTCCCGCCGGCCGGGACTCCGCGGGGCCACCAGGCCCGGGCCTGCGCCCGCGGAGCGAGCGCGCGCCTCCCCGCCGCCGGCGCCACCCAACGCTGCCCGCGAGCGAGCGCAGCGGCGGCCGGCGGCCACCCAGCCCGCGCGCGCGGCGATGCCTATCGGGACCCCCGGGCCGGCCCCGCCCCGCTCGCGCCTCCCCCGCAGCCCGGCGTCCGGGGCGGGGGCGCGAGCCGGGCGGCGCCGGGAGTCCGCCGCAGACGGGGCGGGGCCGGGCCTGCAGCCCGAACGCGTGCCCGCAGGGCGGCATCTCCTTATTTTCTGGAAGGCGTCTCCCACGAGCGCGCACAGCCGTGCCCAGGCAGGCCGCCCTTCTTGGCCCATCTGGATTTTCTGCTCCCAGTCCCAAGCCACGGCCCCTGCACAAAAAAGCCGGCAGAAACTTTCATCTGCCCGCATTGAAAAAAGCGCTTCCTTAGTTTTAAGACTCGTTTTCTCGCAATTTAGGATGTCCAAAGTTGGGTTGTATCCTACAGTCATTGGCGAGGGAAGCTTGGCACCAGGAGAGGAAGGAGAGGAGATACGGGGACTGTCCGCGTGCAGCCTGAAGGACATGGTGTCTCCACCTCGGAGACCTGGGGTGCATTGTTTGCGTTGGGAGCACCATGCATCGGTGAATTCTTATTAAATCTGGAAACGCATTTGTCACCTAAAATGTCATTAGAAAAACTGAACTCATAGGGTAGTGAAATGTAATGTATGATGTGTATGCATTGCCTGTTATACACAAGCAACATGATTAAAGGCCACATCTCTTCCTTCAGATAGATCTAAACTAGGAAACCCTCAGCCTCAGGTAACAGAGACCACCACTTGAAGTGGCGGGAACAATAAGACCATCTGTTACATCTGCTAACAGGGCCAACAGTGAAGCGCAGAGAGGGAAGGTTCCAGGACAGGCTAAATAAGTTACACCATTACCAAGGGCCTGGCTTTTCCACCTCCCCTCTCAGCCATCGCCTTCAGACATAAAACTTCCAGAGGAAAAAGAGAGCCTTGTGTCATGTGGCAAGCTCTTTGGATCAAGGGATCTTTACCTAGGAGCCCTACGAGCTGCTATCCGTGTGAGCTCAGGACTTTAGAAAGAAGTATCTGTTTTCTAGCTCTTACTAGTGGTTGTGCAATGTTTTTCTGTGTATCACCAAGACCCACATAGAATTCTCATGTGCATGTTTGCACTGTCCAAATTTTGGTCTTTACCAGTATTCCCCACTAAAAGTAGAAGATTGCATGTATTAGGTCAAAAACTGGAATAATTTTTTTGTGATCAGAAAATTCAGATGCTTTTACAATGTGTTTTATAGGCCCAAAAAGACAAAAGCCCCAACTTAAAGGGGTTTTAAAGTTGGCTGATCGCCAGCCAACTCGTGATGGCTTGAGTATCAAAACAGCAAAGAACGATTATAGTTAATTGACAAATTGAGTCTGTAGAAATTCCTTTCATAGAACTTGACAAGCTGTTTTTATTACTTATATGGAAGAGCAAAGCACCAGAAGTTGCAAAGACACTCCTGCAGAAGGACAGTTTGGGCGGACTGCCCAAGCACATATGAAAATGTATTTGAAACTATTGTAATTCAGACAGTGTGTTAATGCCATAGGCACAGACAAATAGAACACATGTTTGGAAATTAGATGTATGGCAGAGCTTAGAGTGCTGATCTATGGGGGAAAGCAAGGCTGTTCATCCAATCAGACAGAACCTGGGCCCTTGGTCCCTTTCTTGCATCTAAATAGATGCAAGAAAACATCATCCAGTTATCAGACATCAATGAATCAGAAGTTTCCAGCTGACTTTCATGAGAACTCTTAAATTTCCTGCAGTATACAATTCAATTAAAAAGAAACTAAAAATTCAAGCAATTAGGAAATGTATAGGACAATCAATTATTCACATGGAAGAAAAAATTGGATTCCTATGGAAACCATACATAAAAAAGAATTCAGCGTAAAAGGCAAAACTGTGAAAGTGTTAGAAGAAAATCATCGCTGGGCATAATGGCTCACACCTGTAATCCTAACACTGTGGAAGGCCAAGGTGGAGGATCTCTTGAACCCAGGAGTTTGAGGTTGCTGTGAGCTAGGATGATGCCATGGCACTGTAGCCTGGACAACAGAGTGAGACTCTGTCTCCAAAAAAAAAAAAAAAAAAATGTCCATCATTAGCGACCTAGTTCAATCAAATATGGCATATCCATATTATGAAGTACTTAGTATGTGGCCATTAAAAAGAGCAAGTAGGATTTATGATGCTGATACAAAAACACTCATAAGTTGTACTGTTAAGCGAAAAAAGCAGGTGAGTGTAACATCCCACCTTTGTGTAAACAAAGGTAGGGAGAACATACACATGTGCTTGTATATGCGTAGCCTCTAACAAGAAGGCTACACAAGAGACCACACCATGGTTGTTTTTATGAAGGGGACTGGGGAACTCAGGGAGAAAAACACACACCCTTTTACAATGTTTGAATGTTTTAATTATATGTATTTTTTCAGATTTAGCAAATATTAATATTTCCAAAAATTGGGTTGGGAATGAACTGTGGCTATAAAAATCTATATACGGGCTATACAGTAGACTATATGGGGTGATAGGTCACCACTCTCATCCCCCAGCATCTGGGGGGCATTCAAAGGAGCGACTATGCAGGGAAGGCAGCAATGACACGAATGGAAATACCGCCGTGAGCAAGCAGGTGGCGCTACCGGAGACAGGCAGAGCAGGGAGGACTGGGTGACAAGAACGCAGAGGAGCTCTTGCTCGCGAGTGCTGGTCCCTTCAAAGCAGCCTGCGGAGAGCCGACCCCGAGGATCCCTGGGTTCGGTGCTGAAAATGTGCCAAGAACTCCTGTTTGGACCCGTAAGGTGGTGACATGTTGCTCATCGGTGGCAAATATCGGTCCGCAGAGAAAGGATCTAAATTTTGGAAATAGGCAAATGCATTTGGCCACAAGTTTGGTTAGAGGAGTAAAAGGTCTAGCGAAGCAATTACTCTTTTAGTAGGAGAACGAGCCACGGAATCAGGGCAGACTGCCGCTCCGGTGCCCCTCGGACACTGGCTCGACGGCCAAGCCCAAAAGGATGCTGGAAACACGAGGCGCACCCGGCGGCGTGGTGGGGAGGCGCGGCCGCTCCGAAGGAGTCAGTGCTGCCGGGAAGGGGTGCGTTCTGGCGGGCGGGCGGAGGGCGCGGCCTGGCCCGGGGCGCCGGCGGCGGGGCGCGCTCAGCTCTTCTTGCGCAGTTGGCTGTACTGCGCGCGGCCCAGGATGGGCTCCATGACGCTGGGCCGGAAGAAGCTGTCGCTGACCCTGCGCTTCGGCTTCTCGCGGGGCACGGCCGGGAAGCCCGGGCGCGCCGGGTTGGGCGTCTCGGCCTTGTCGTCCAGACCCGGGCTGGAGGGCGCGCCGGGGCCCCGCGCGCTGCGCAGGCTGCCACGGGGCTGCCCCGGGCGCGGCGCGGGCTCCGGGCTGGGGGACGATGCGCCAGACCCCCTGCGCTCCGCCTCCGGGCGCTCGGACTCGGCCGGCGGGTTGTCGATGTCCCGGAATTCGCTCTCAGGCTCCATCAGCGACAGCCTGGGGAGCTGAGGACCCGGCAGCTGCGTTAGGACCCCAGCTTGGCCTTCGCCCCGGTGCCCCCAACCCACCACCCCCTCCGGGGCCCTCGCCTTCATTCCTCCACGGGCGACGGTCAGGAGGGCACAGGCTGGGGCGTGGGACAGGAGAATGGAGGACACTGGGGAGACCCCTGAGGTCCTAGCCACTCTGAGCATCTCCACGGTCCAGGCCCCTCAGGCAAGGCAAGCCTCCCAAAGTTTCAGGACCCCTTGGGCCTCCCTCAGGGGCACCCGAGTGGCAGGCTTTCCTAAACGTTCCTTGGGCCAGAGTTGTAGGCTGAGTGCGGCACACACATTGACCTGGCCAGGGTCAGGGTACCCCTGCCTGGGCGTGTTTGGGGCCCAAGGTGAACAGTCTGGCTGCCAAGATCCCTGGCATGCCTCTTGGTGGGAGTGACTGAGTCACCCACCCCCTTGCCAGCTCTAAAGGTGCTTCCTGCCCGGCCCGGCCCTCCTGGAGCCTGCACAACCTGGAACTTGCTCTGGAAAGGGGCCTAGGGGCTCCCAAACGGATGGCATAGGCACGTCGTGGGTTTTTCCTGTTGATGATAGGTGATAGAATCAGGTGGGGACAGCAGCTGGACTCCTGGACACCTCTCAGGATGCCCCTGAAGCCTCCCAACACCCCGTTCCCAGGCAGCAGCATGCAGACCTGCCAGGTTCTTTGCTGGGGAGCCAAGCAGTGAGGGCTGAGCCACTGGGGCTGCCCAGAGTGCTGGCAGGAGACCCACCAGCAGGTGGGAGGAGAGACATGGGGAGATGCCTCAGGCCAGGGCCATGGGCCTCTATACTCCGGGGCTGGGAGAGGCCTCAGTATGTCAAAATGTTTCTGAGGCACCGGGAATTGCAGGAGGGTCTCCAGGGGGTTGGGGGAAGGAGGGGGCTGCAGCCTCTTCGGTCAGATCTACTTTGTCGTATCCAGGCCTCCTTGGGAGAGGGGGTGGGACTCACCGGCACATAGTGCACCACCGTGTCCACCACATTGTCAGTGACGCCTTTCAGGGCATCCGATAGGGACATGGCCCTCCCCTTGGTTGAGGAGACGGCACGGGCCGGTGTGAGGTGCAGCGCCCTCCCCGCTGTGCCCAGCACAGCTGCAGGTGCCCATGTCACGGCCGAGATGGTGCACTGGAGGGCCTTCTGCAGAGTGTGCACCACGCTGCCCAGGAGGCCTCGCGGGCCTGGCAGGGCCGCCACCTGGTGGGCCAAAGCAGGGTCAGGGCTCCTGCAGCGACTCCACCGACCCCTCCCCCTCCCTGCAGCCCCGGAGCTAGAGGGGAAAGCATGGGCGAAGCAAATTGGAAAAACTTTAGGCCTAGCTCTGCTACTCGCTGTGTGGCCTTGGACAGGTCACGTCCTAGCTCTGAAATTCAGTTTCTTCACCTGCAAAATGGAGCAATAACCTCTGCTCTGCCTATCTTAAGGGGTGTTGTGCGGGTCAGCTGAGAGAGTGACATGGAAGTGCTTCGTTCGCTGGGATTCAGGGCAGGGTGAGGCGTGCTGCACCTATGTGCCATGTCCCTGGGGCTGGGGAGGGAGCCCCGATCTCAGCCCGTGCTTCTGCTTCTCACCTGCTGCACAGGTAGTGGGACCTGGAGGCTCCCAGTCCCCCCCCTCACCTCACTGAACTTGCTCTCCTCAGTCTCCAGTTCTTCCTCCTCCTCCGACTCCTCTCCCCCCGTGTCCGTCTGGTCATCACAGTCCTCCTCCTGGGTGGCAGTGAGGTTGTGCAGCCAGGGCACCTGCGCCTTGCTCTTCTGCCGGGACACCACCTGCATGGCCGCTGACACACCCCACTGGGCCAGGCTGTTCTGAGGGAGGATGGCAGCAGACTGGTGGCTCAGGTGGGGCTACTCCAGAAGCCAGAGCCTGCCACCCGGGGTCAGGGCCATGTGGTAAGCAGGGCCTGGCCCAGGCAGACTTTTCCTAAAACTTCACTGAGTGGTGACGTACATACGCCAGAGGGGGCACAGCCGCAGTGCGCAGCTCTGTGAATTTTTACAGCTCCACGCACCTGCGTAACGACCACAGCTCAAGATACAAACCGCTTCCCACACCCCAGAAGACTGTCTGTGCCCCCACTCGGTCCATACTCCCCCAAGAGTGACCACCATTCTGATCCCTCTTACTATGCCTTAGTTTCATCTATTTTTGAACTTCGTATAAAGGAAACCATACCATGTGTGTTTGTTCATGCATAGCTCCTTTAGTTCAACATTATGGTGTGAGATTCATTCACCTTGCTTCATATAGTAGTCGTTCCTTCTTTTTGATTTCTGTGTAACATTCCACTGTGTGAATTTACCACAATTTCCCCATTCTACTGTTGATGGACATTCTCACTGTTTCCAGCTCTTGGTTAGGATAAAGCTGGTGTGAACATTTGGGCGTGGCTTGGGATATGTAAGTTTCTGTCGGGCATCCTCCTAGGAGTGGAATTGCTGGGCCGTAGGGTATGTGTGTGTTTGGCTTTAGTAGATATTCCTCACAGGTCTTTAACAAATGAGAAATGCAAGTGGGCCGCAGTGTCCCGTGGGAGGAAACCGACTGAGCAGGCGGGCAGGCGGGCTGAGGCATAGCTTGGTTCATTCCAAACCTATAGGGCGCCCACAGAAAGGCCCTCCTTATAACGCAGCTTTTAGGACACAATTCCATTGTGTGTGAATGGTGGCGCCTGAGGTTCTGCCCACTGCAGGCCGGGCCAGGGCGCATGAGTCGGTCTCGGCCCTTACTGGTAGGTGATCCTCGGTGCAGGGGACAGAGGGGAACTATTCCTCCCGTACCCCTACCAGGGGATTTGCTTGAATGGAAGATCCAGGCATGGTGATGCTTTTTAAAAGTACCACTCAAATGATGGTTGAAAAGTAGTCGTCTTGCTTGCTGCCTTTATGCCTTCATGTTGTTTGTATTCCATTTTTTGGCCTTACTTTCTTATTAAAGTTCCTTATGAAAAAAATCCAGCCTGTCTCTGCTACAATACACAGAGAGGCAGGGGTGGGCAGCTGTGGAGAGTTAGCCCTACCTGGGCCTAGAAAGGCAGCTTACCTTGGGTGCAGTGGGAATGGAAATTAGAAGCCTCTAGAAGGGACATTTAAAAAACCTGGGGGCAACTAAGGCTCTCTCCCTGACAAAACAGGTTTTGTGTTTTGTTTATTTGAGGATGACACTCCCTAGGACAGCAGGTGGGGGTCTCTGCTCCCTCGTAGGCGGGAGGGCCCACAGCAAGAGGCCACTTGAGGGGACGAAGGCTGCAGTAGGCAGACTCAGAGAAGAGGGGAGACAGAAGGGAGTGGCGGGGCAGGACCACCCTAGCAAGGCGGGCCTGCCCTTGACTAACATGCTCTCCCTTCTCTCCCCCTGTGGCCGGGAGGACTAGCCCTCACTCCTCTTAAGGCCTCTTGCCCTTGAACCTGGAGCCCCTGACCAGGTTGGAAGAGAGAACGTTCCCAGGACAGGAAGGGGCATCAGGTGGGGGATGGAAGGGACCAGGAGGCCCACAGGACTCTCGGGCGTGGGGTCAGGCAGAGCTCGGAGCAGACACTCACCAGAGGCGCCACACCTGGGATCCACATGGCCAGGGCGTGGCCCTGCTTCAGCACCCGGCCTGTGGTCTGCATGGCGTGCTGAGAGAGGGTGCTGGTCAGGGCCCCGACTCTGCTCACGAGGTTCGGCTTGGCCTTGGGAGGCTTCTGGGCCTGCTGGTGTCCAGGAGCAGGGGCTGGGTAGGGATGTGGGGGGAAAGTAGAGAAAACAGATCGGAGAGGGGCTGGGGAAATCTGGGCGGTGTCTAGGGCTGGAAAGCCGCCGTCCTAGTTCCACCGCCAACTCACTGGTGACTTGTGCAATCCACTATTACAGATGGGGACACAGGGCTACATGACCACGGATCCATCTGAAAACCCCGCTGGGCCTTCCCTCTTCCAGAGCCCAGAGCGGTGGCTGGATGAGCCCTCGCGGCCTCCTGCTGACCCCCAGGCAGCGTGAGCGGCCACCCGCTCCATAAAGACGGGTACCTGACTCTTCCTTGGCCGCAGGGAGAAGGAACTCCACCACCTTCTCAATGCCGCCCAAGGCCAAGTCAGCCCCTCCGGAGGCCAGTCTGCCCGCTCGGGTGTTGGGTCGAAACCAGGCCTGGGCAAGGCAGCCCATCTCTACTATAGAAAGGAATTATTTGGGGCCACAATATCATAGAAAAAAATTAGCCGGGCATGGTAGGAATTGCTGTAGTCCCAGCTACTCGGACGGCTGGGCGGAGGATTGCTTGAGCCCAGGCGTTATGGCTGCTGTGAGCTAGGCTGACGCGCCAGGCACTCCATCTAGCGCTGGGCAACAAAGTGAGACTCTGTCTCAAAAAAGAAAAACAAAAACAAAAAAAACACAGTAGAATCGGAATTGTGGTTAGATTACCAGTGGAATGATCACGAATCAAAAAGAAGGACGTACTACTTATGAAGAAAGGTTGAATGTGGAATCTCACCACCGTAATGGTTGAACTAAAGGAGCTATTGCATGACAAACACACATGGTATGGTTTCCTTTACGAAGTTCAAAAACTAGATGAACTAAGGCATAGTAAGGAGGATCGAATGGTGGTCACTATTGGGTGCAGTTGGACCGGGTGGGGGCACGTTCTCCTAGGGTGTTGGAAGGGTTTGTATCTTGGCTGTGTCGTTACCGCAGGGTGCGTGGAGCTGAAATCACACGGGCTCACTGCGGCTGGGTGCGGCCCTTGGCGTTGTACGTCACCATCAGTGAAGTTTTAGAAAGTATGCCTGGCCAGGCCTGTTCACATTGGCCCTGACCGCCGAGGTGGCAGGCTCTGGGCTCTGGGTAGCCCAGCCTGAGCCACCGTCTGCTGGCCATTCCTAGAACAGCTGGCCGTGGGTGTTCAGCGGCATGCGTGGTGTCCCGGCAGAAGGCAAGGCGCAGGTAGCCTGGCTGCCAACCTCACTGCACCAGGGGGACTGTGATGACCAGACGACACCGGGTGGGGAGGTCGGAGGAGGAGGAAGAATGGGACTGGGAGGGAAGTTCAGCGAGGTGACGGGGGACTGGGGCTCAGGTCCACTGCCTGTGGCAGCGGTGGAGAAGCAGAAGCACGGGCTGAGATCGGCTCCCTCCAAGCCCAGGGACATGCAATAGGTGCAGCAACGCCTCACCCTTTGCGCCGATATCCAGCGAAGGAGGCACTTCATGTCAACTCTCTCAGGGACGCACAAAACCCCTTAAGATAGGCAGAGCAGAGGTTATTGCCATTTTGCAGGTGAAGAACTGAATTTCAGAGCGGAGGACGTGACCTGCCAATCCACACGCGAGTAGCAGGCTAGGCCTAAAGTTTTTCCATTGCTTCGCGTGCTTCCCCTCTAGCTCGGGGGCGTGCAGGAGGAGGGTCAGCGTCGGGTCGCTGCGGGAGCCGACCCTGCTTTGGCCACCAGGCTGGCCGCCTGCCGGCCCGAGGCTCCTGGGCAGCTGTGGTGCCATCTTCAGAAGGCCTCAGTGCACATCTCGGCAGTGACATGGGCCCTGCAAGCGTGCTGGGCACAGCGGGAGGGCGGTGCACTCACACGGCCCGTGCAGTCTCCTCAACCAAGGGGAAGGGCATGTCACCTATCGGTGCATGAAAGGCGCATGACAATGGTGGTCGACACGGTGGTGCATATTGTCGCGGTGGAGTCCCACCCCTTCCAAGGAGGCCTGGATGACCAAAGTAGATCCTGAGGGAAGAGGCTGCAGCCCCTCCTTCCCCAACCCGGAGACTCCTGCAATTCCGGTGCCACAGAAACATTTTTGAATACTGAGGCCTCTCAGCCGGGAGTTTAGAGGCCCATGGCCCTGGCCTGAGGCGTCTCCCATGTCTCTCCTCCCACCTGCTGGTGGGTCTCCTGCCAGCACTCTGGGTCAGCCCCAGGCTTCAGCCTCACTGCTTGGTCACAGCAACGAACCTGGCAGGTCTGCATGCTGCTGAGCCTGGCAGGGTGTTGGGAGGTTCAGGGGCTCCTGAGAGGTTCCAGGGGTCTGTGCTGTCCCCACCTGCTCTATCCTAATCATCAACAGGAAAAAACACGACGTGCCTATGCATCCGTTTGGAGCCCCTAGGCCCCTTTCCAGAGAAGTTCACAGGTTTGCGGGCTCGCAGGAGGGCGGCCGGGCAGGAGCACTTTAGGCTGGCAAGGGGGGTGGGTGACTCCCGTCACGTCCCACCAAGAGGCATGCAGGGATTGGCAGCCAGACTGTTTCACCTTGGGCCCAAAACGACGGCCAGGCAGGGGTACCCCTGATCCTTCCCGCAGTCAAAGTGTGTGCGCAGTCAGCTAAGATCTGCCAAGAACGGTAAAAGCGGTGACTGCGGTGCCCTAGCCAAGTCCTGGAACTTTTGACTGCCGTTGCTGAGGGCCTGGACTGTGAGTGAGGTGGCTAACCTTCAGGGTCTCCCAGTGTCCTCATTCTCCTGTCCACGCCCAGCTGTGCCCTCCTGACGTCGGCGTGGAGATGAAGGGCGGAGCCCCGGAGGGGGTGGTGGGTTGGGGGCACCGGGCGAAGGCAAGCTGGGTCCTAACGCAGGTGCCGGTCCTCAGCTCCCCAGGCTGTCGCTGATGGAGCTGAGAGCGAATTCCGGGACATCGACAACCGCGGGCCGGAGTCCGAGCGCCCGGGAGGGAGCGCAGGGGTGGGTCTGGCCATCGGTCCCCAGCCCGGAGCCCGGGCGCCGCGCCCGGGGCAGCCCCGTGGAGCGTGCCAAGGCGCGGGCCCGGCGGGCCTTCCAGCCCGGGTCCTGGACGACAAGGCGAGACGCCCAACCCGCGCGCCCGGGCTCCCGCCGTGCCCGCGAGAAGCGAAGCGCAGGGTCAGCGAGTTTCCGGCCAGCGTCATGGAGCTCCTGGGGCCGCGCGCAGTACAGCCAACTGCGCAAGAAGAGCTGGACGGCGCGCGG